TGGCTGATAAATGATGTGTGTTTTTTTTGGGGTGTAAATAATGATCAAAGTTCTTTGTTTTGGGTGTAAATAATAGTCGGAGTTTGTTGTTTAAATGTATATATTGATTTGAGATAGAAAAAGATAAAAATACCTAAAAATAGTGTTAACTAAACAATTACATGCTAGTTTTCCAACTGAGAATATTTCAATTTTATGTCAGGCGGTGCTGCCCAGCCCCCATATCTTGGAAATTGGTTCTCGTATTTATTACTAAATCTTTCCTTAGATTAAATAACATCAAGGCAGTCATTTCTCCTGACAACACTTAATATTTAAAATTGATGTATCTATCATTGTCTTAAAAATGCAATCTTGTTCATTTGAACTGTCTACTTAGGTGAATGGTTAAGAGCCATCATGGCCCTCTTTTTATGTTCCCTTAAAGTATTCACTTCCAAAAAGATACCAAAATTTCAGTCTCTCAATCCAGTCTTTGGATGCATCTTCATAGTCTGTTTTAGGTATAATCTGAAGACACTGTAATATTGCAGAAATTTTTGACCTGGACGGTAGTTTTTCAGCTTTTTACGAAACAAAAAGAAGGAACAAGGGTCTATGTCAGATGATTACGGAGAATTGGGGAGCGCAGCGACTTTTTTCTGCTTCAGAAAGTCATCTACTATAGACATCTTGTGCGTTGATGCGTAGTCATGCAGCAATCTGACATTGGTCGAACCTGTGACGGGTCTTCGTTTTCAAAAGTGTTTGTTTAGTTTTGGAAGTACCCTTCTCTTGTAAAATCCGGATTAACATAATTGCTCTTAGGAACATGAATGGTGGAAGTTGTGAAGAGAAAATGGCACACGTTACCTTCTTTATACTGATGATCTTTTGTGCAACGCATGGTCTTTTGCCACACCTTGTAGCCAAAATCTTGTTCTGATGTTTTCGTTTTGACTCATTAAAATAAACTCGTTTCGTCACTAATATTTGCAAGAAACGTGCACTGTAATTTGGAAATAGTTTAAACAACAACTTCGTGCATTACACACGAGCCGTTTTCTACTCATCTTTCAGCGAGCCGTTTTCTACTCATCTTTCAGCACATGGCTTATCCATCTAGCACATATCTTTCTCATTTCTCATCATGAGAATGGTATGAGCTGTTCCTTATGAGATGCAAACGATACTAGCTATTGCCAATTGCTTGGTGGTATCTCCTATTTCTTTCACCTTAGCAACCTCATTGACAGACATTGCTGCTTTAGGTCGACTGGCATGAGGTGCATCTTTATTCGTAATTTACCAACATGAATAAACTGAAAAATTAACTGAAAAATTAAAACAAAATAACGAAAATACATAAATACGTTTCTTTTAAAAGAATATGTTATTCATGATATTGTATTAGTTGTCTGCATATTTGTATACCGTTCACGCGTGCAACATTTTATTTAATCACAAAATTATTTAATTAACTAATTTATTATCAACTGTAACTTTAGTCGTGGGCAATTCTCAGTCAAATATTTAAGTGCTGGACAAAACAGTTTCGTTCAAAATTCATCTTAAATAGAACATGCTAGATAAACAAATTGTCATACAGCTGTTCGTTATCGCTTATTTTCCACATTTGTTAAAAATATAAAATTTCAAAAATATATCATTTTTTCTCTTCATAATGACAATTGTTTTTAAAAGTTGGGTGAAATAAATAAGGATCAGGGACTATATGTGAAATGAAACCAGAATACAGATTGGATATCTTATATCGTTTGATAATTTAACATGCTTCTGAAGTGCTCTTTTTTATTATGGATATGTTCAAAGGTCATAAAAAGCAATGCAATGAGTGCATTTACCCAATGATAGTGAAACATGGGTGCTTACAAGTTCAGTATTAAATCAGTATAAATTATTCAAATCGGTAGGAAAAAGGTATATACTCAATTTTCAACCAGGTGCATTAAATATCGTTCAGTAATGATATTGAAAATGTGAAAAACAATTTAAATATTGATAACACTGGATATAAAATCTTTTGTTTATTAAATATAAAACTAGTTTCCGGTATTTCACATATACATTAATGAAAATAGATATGAATTCAGTATTAATTAATTGCCTGTCTATATGAATATTTTAAAATCACTTTCTGATATTGTTCTATTTAAATTAATTCATATAACTTACAATAACATGAGGAAGATGGAAATTATATACATATTTTTTATTGGAATAGGGGCACTGTTGTTAATTATGCTTATTTGTGGCGGCGCTTTGAAAAGAGCTTTGATAGCAAGGACCTTAGAAAGTAAAGGTATGTAAATCGACTGATTGCATGATATATGATTTGATACTTATGAATAAATTTAAAAGCTGATTCAGGAATATGTATTGATGAACATTAAACCAGTTGTATCCATCTTGAATTAAAGTATACTTTTTTCGCTTATATAACCAACAACAACAAAGGTTTTAATACCGACATTGGTGTGCTCTTTAATTATTTCGGCAACAATACATAAAGGTACATTCAGTCTCAGAATTGAATTTTCATTTCTTTCTTATTAATGAATGGGAAATATGGGTTTTACATTGAATAACTGATGGATTATGAGCGTATATTACATGTATTAAAATGCTTATTAGAGTGCAATGTGAAATAATTTATCATAAAAGTAGTAAGATATCAACCAAGTATTAAACCGTTTTCCATATAAAATGCTAAATCACCATAACTTAACAAAATGTCTATAAACGAAAGAAGCAAAAGATGGTTTAGCTTTTGTCAATGATTATGGTTGTGGGAACTTTAACAGAGAACTTCAGAACAAAAGCCTTTGCCAAATAAAAATATAATAGCATTTTGGGGCCCATTGTGACCTTCAGGTCTTTCTATAATTATTGGTTTACAAACTAATTTACTAAACATCGATTTGATTTGTAACGACCGGAAGTTATATATAGATATTGAAATAACATGATGTTTAATATTGATATGATATTTCAGGAGGTTATTCGGATGAAGTAGCAGATGAAAAATGTTGTTATGCTCAAGGTGTATGTTTATATTCGAGAATACACGTGGAGGCTAGATTATAAACAGAACAAATACCAAAACAAAACTCTGAACAATTACCAAAAGAAGAAACAGACAACACGTTTATACAGTATAATATATAAATGTTTATATTCGACAATACATGTAAATAAAATATATAAAATGTATACTTAACAAATATCAAATAATATAGCAGACGGCGTACATTGACATGTTTCATGATGTACATGTATGTTTGAATAGAAAAAAATATTATCAAAACCCGCAGCAATATTTTATTTCAACATGCAAAAAGATGGCGTATTTTTAATTACAAATGCGTATTTGTAATTACAAATGACATATTTTATATAATTAGAAATGAATTTCTCTCAACAACCATGCAAACAAACAAACAGACAAAGTACACTGATATGCTATTCTCGTTACATCTATATTAACATTTTGTTTAGGAAAAGACCTTTATAAGCTCCTTTATAAGATCCTCTTCCAGGCTTAAATTGCGTTACTCCTTGTATGTAAAATAAATCTCGAAAGACAATGCGTTTAAACCAACAGTTTGTTTTGTTGTGTTTTTGTTCTGATTTTTGCCTCCAAAATCATTCGTGCAATCGTTATCAAATCTAATAAACACGTTAATGTGATTCTCTTTGTTCATTCATTTATTTAGAACATATTTAATGATACAAAATAAGAATAGAGATCAACAAGCCAAGGGCAACAGTCACAGGTAGCAGCCCCCGACACAATCCAGCCGCAACAGCAGGGCCATCCAGAAGACACCGAACCAAAAGGGCAGCAAAATAAGGGGAGTGATATGTGAACTATTAATTGCCTTTAATTGAATATATAAGACATTCAGTTGCATGTATTCCAAGTTTTGTTCATTTCACAACTGTTTCAATCTGTTTTCATACAAAAATTCAGTTGTCCTTAACTTATCTATTCCGAGCAGTATCTCTATTAAACAGTATTAAATAACCCCTTTGTATTTGGCGTCCGCGCCGAAGCGCGACGCCTCTTATGGAATGAAATCAGATTTTGTGGTAGGGCAATTGCAACTTCTCGGGCCTTTTCGTTGGTCATAATAGCCGATCATTCCGATTGGTATGAGGGTGTTTGATAATCAAAAATGAAATGTCGCGATATGTACAATGAATAGCGAACTGGAGAATTTCGCAATGCAAACATATTCAAAGTGAAATTATCTTACCCGTCAATTGACATTACGCCAGAGAAGAGATTGCTCCGCCCACTGATTCACGTGACCCGGTCATTCAGAACCTTAGACAAAACACGGTACCGACGTTTACAGTAAACTAGTATGCCACTAAAGTGACTAATGAATTTACCTTATACAAAGTGGTATATATAAAATTGTAATGCTTTTCTTGGGTAGTTCAATATATTATGGTATTTAAAAAAGTAACATATAACTGCATGCATGCTTTAATTATGAATAAAACGTTAGGCAAAGAAGTATGATATATGATTATATGTATATTTCTCGTTGACTTCAAGGAAGATGTTTCTGACAAAATATCATTTTAGTTTACAAATTCAAAGACAATCAACGTGTCACATTGTAGGTTCGATGATAATCGCTATATGATCACATCTGCGGATGTTTCAAAATTCCAAATTTTACCAGTTGAATTCTGCTTTAGCCGGTGATAGGGGGCGTGGACGGTTACGTACACATTCCATTACCGTCCATGAACAGGCTCAATCCAACCGAGCCTGCAACATTTACAATTTTTGTCGTTTTGTACGTTCTTTAGAGATTCTTTATTTCTCTCTATTTTAACTTTCGTCAGAGATGTAGATAACATCTAGATAATATCTATGTCTCTGCTTTTGTACCTGCTATATAACTTATTATCTTCATATATACAAAGTTACTGATATTTTTTTTGTAAAATGAACTAATTTTTTTAATTAAAACTAACATGCATACAGTTATATCTTTTATTTATTCACAACATACATATCATATTTTACAGAATCGTCGTCGGAATCATTTTCAATGTCGTAAGTAGGATTGTGAAAGTCGGGCTGCTCTGAAAAGTGTTCCTTAGAAAAATCCTGAACTTCGGCCGGAGAATGACTGATTGTTCTGGAATCCTTCCTCCTGAAAATGTATTAATATTTAATTATAATACTTCAAGGAAACAGATATCGTGTGTATTAATTTACTTGTATAAGATATAGATCGATGATTGTAAAAGTGTAAACCATTTAAATTTGTAGAATAAATGATACTTTTGACTCATGTACAGACTCAATCAAACCGAGTCTGCAATTTTAATGTTATTTTGATGTTTTAATGCTTCCGAGGGATCACTTTTTTGAGATATTTATTTTCAAATCTGGAAAAGGCAGGGCAGAGCGGGAGGATTGGAATTAAAATAAAAAAGGATAAAATCTATTCCAGGGATTTGCTGTTTTTTTTAAATTGATAACAAATGATATTAAACGATATAAAAAATACCTTTGCCTGACAGATAAGAATACCACAAGAAAAACAATAGCAACAACGAGCAATAAACTCCCAATAACGATCAGTGCTATCCGCCATGCCTGAAAATAACAGAATAAGATTAAGCAATAAGATTCAAATTAGTACAATTTAGAAAATACATCAATGTACAACTGACACAGTGACATTAGTGCATTGGTGCAAATAGGGTACGCTTCAGTTTATACGAATTGATTTTAGTTCGATGTTGTTGGGAGATATGTAAGCTTATTAAAACACTATCGGATCAACCAGTACTAATCAATGAGTGTAATGTTTCTTGCTCAAGGAAACAACGGCTTGCCCATGACGGGGTTTGAACACACGCGGTGCGTTAACCACTCGGCCACGCCTACACATATTATATAAACTTGCACAATGTTCAATTATAAATGTTGTAACTCAAAGTTTGCTAAGCACCAAGTTTACAAACAAATATTCTTGGTGCTCAGCATACTTTGAGTAGTATAGAAAACATCGATCGGTATTGTAAAAACACACATATTACCTTTGATATGCCATTTGAAGACTCCAAATTTCTGTCTGTCACTATTAGAGTTGGTGAAATAGTATCTACAAATGTTGACTGAGTAATGATTTCTCTATTGAATGATGAAGATGATTGGACGGGAGTAGCCGATACTTTTTCTGTAGTTGATTTCACATTGTAATAAGGCATTTGAGTGTTTACATTTGTCTTACTGATTGAACTTTCTATGGAAGAACTATCACCTAGATTGTATTTGTTACTTATACTTCCATTTATAGCATGCGTCATTGTTCTATGGCTGCCTTGTTTTACTGCTTCAGTGGAAGTTTTAGTTGCACTGATAAGGTTTCTATTAGAGTTGGTTTGATTTTCGTTATTGGCGTGTTGCTGGGATATAACTGTGTAGGATGCTTGTATATTGGACGAATCTACAGTTCTAGTTGTTATAGGCATGTCTTTAAATGAACCAACTACTTGGTCTGTAGTATCAAAGTTGGTGTGAGTATTGCTTACTCGAGTATGTGCGATATCTATTAATGTCGCTTGTGAACTTTGTGAAGAAATATCAACTGGTGTAGTCTTTATGTGAGTATTTTGATAAACTTGACATCCTTGGTAAATGTATAGTTTTCTGTGATGTGAGATATGAGGAAAGAGGCTTAATTGTTGATTCCGGTGATGAAATTGCATGTGATGCATTTTGTACGAGGTAGGTCTTTGATTTCGTAATAAAAGAGGAGGGAATAACTGAAGAATGTGAAATAATGTTTGAAGGAACATCAGTTGTTACTATGCTAGTTGATGGTTTAATCGGTGGGGTAGTACTGATCGAATGTTTAAGACTTGTACTAAAAGAATCAAAAACTGAAGAAGGTAAGACCTGCGGAATGTATATTGAGGAAGTGTGAAATTGAGGTAAACGTGAACTTCGGATGGTTTCTTTTTTTGTCAATAACAACGACGTTGAAAATAGATGATTTGCTATGTGATGGTTACCGGCACTAACAGCAGGGTTTGCTGAATGCGAAGATGAAACTAATGAAGCACTTTGTTCAGTTTTAGATGTAAGTGTGCCTAGAGATGATATAAAAGATTTAGAAACTGGGGTCGATGTCGTTGCTTTTATGTTTTCCTTTGACGTTGATGAAATAAGATCAATGTTTTCTGATTGAATATTGTGTGACAACAAAGATGTTACAGGAACCTTAGTGACATGTGCTGGAATTGTTTTACTATATGTATCAGATATAGATAAGCTAGTTTGAAATGGTGTTGACACTGTTACCGAGTGCGCATAAGATTGGGTGACAGAAGTTTGTGAGACAGACGGTGATACACTTAATGCTGTGAGCATTTCTGCATACATATGAGTGCTAACATATTTAAATATTGAATGGCTACTTGTCGACATTATTGCAGTGGGTTTAATGGAATTGTTGATTGACCTAGTTGTACTATGATTTTTTATATAACTTGTTGACATGGTGGTTTTAGAATTTATGACATTACTTGTTGACTTATCTGTTGAATATTGAAAGGAATAACTTGTACTTGGCAGCATAGTGACATTATATATTAAGGCATTACTTGTTGGCATTGTAGTAGTTGGCGATCTTATAATATTTTCACACATTTTTCCAGTGAAATTTGAACGGCAGTGACAAAGAAATCCATTTCCAGCACTTGTGCATGTTGCATTATTTTGACATGGGCTACTTAGACAACCGATAGATTCAATCTGACAGTTTTCACCAGTATAGTTATATTTACAGCAGCATCTGCCGTTAGAGCATTGGCCATCGTTTTTACAGCCATGCAGGGGGCACTCGGGGTCTATTCTCTGTGGTAAACCTCTTGCGTCGCAATTTGGCCCATCCCATCCGCTTGTACATATTTTCTTTCCATCTGCTTTATTACAAACATAGTGCCCAAAGCAGTTGTTTTCAGGAGAACAGAAAGTTTGGCAACCAGTCCCATAGTAATTTTCTGGACACGCGTTTTGCTGAAACATAGTTAAAAGACATTGTCAATACGGTTGGCTATAAATATCATTTTGAAAATATACGTTAGAGATGTTGAACATTTTTAACAGACTCGTTGTATTTTGCTCATAATTTTTCGTATATCGATTATGTTTATGTCGTTTCACTTGAAAGCTTGATTGATCTTAAACTCGAATAATGTCGGATTAGGCCAAACTTACACGACGGATTATGCCAAACTTACACGATCTCAAAGAACGGAAAAATATCTTCAATGTACTTATGTAAGTTTACCTGTACACTGCCAATGTAAGTTTCACAATGATCTCCTGTGAAATAAGTTGAACAAAGGCAGTAAGTGAAATATGTATCTTCTAGACACGTTCCATTATTCAGGCATGATTTAGATTGACATCCAGAATCACGGGATGGGGTCGTCTGCACATGCGCTACACGTATCTCACAGTTTGTACCTTCATATGATGGTTTGCATAAGCACTCGTACTTTCCAATCAAATCTTTACAAATCCCTGAAAGATTTATGAAATATGTATATCAAACTTTTGTCATAGAAATTAAAAAAAAATATCTTAAGTAATTTTAAAACATGACCTCTTTAACATTTGCGTCATTCTTCAATTTATAATATAAACTTTACATGCTTTTAAGACAGTTTGACAATAGTGTTTGAATTTGTTCTGACCATTTTTGAATTATTAGTTTAAGATATCGTATGAGTTTAAACTTATGCTATGCTGCGTAGCTTTTTTTTTAAATAATCTAACTAAAAACAAACCTCCATTTAAGCACGAGTTACTCTTACATTCAATTATCTCTATCTCACACAGTATTCCCATAAATCCATCTCTACAACAACAATAACCGGAAGCGCACGATCCGCCATTGCGACATGTGTTTTCTGGGCACGTGACGTCATAGTAGCTATTTGCCAATTGTGTTGAGATTCTACAGTTTTTGCCTTGGTAACCTGGCAAGCAAACTTTACTTCCTGTGTCTGTATCACATTTATAATGTCCTTCTTCACATGTGTCTTTCGCGATGCAATATGTACAATTATGTCCATATTCATTCGGCAAACAATGGATTTCTTCCTTCAACTGCCTCGTTCTGAGATGAGATTCCGACCCTCCCGGAAGGAGATCTATTTGCCGCTTTGACATCTTATGCGTTTCCTAAATGAAAAGTATTTTTTTCAAGTGAATTAAAGTGTACAATTATGTTAATATAAAATTAGGCAAAGCCTATGAACGGGGAAGTCGTTAAATAATCCTTTCGTTCTTTCCGTTTTAAAGGTGTCATTCGATATTACATACACCGCTTCCGTTTTCACTCGGAACACGCGACGATTATTACTAATCCGAAAAGTTGAGATTTGTTCCGTTATCGGAATACCCCGCCTATTATCATTGACATACATTGTAAATGGCGGCGCCCGACTAGAACTGACACTGAAAATTTCATTGATAGGTATAGAATTCTATATATTTTTTAATTGTTTTTTATTTGATTTTCTTTTAAATATTCACGTGTAGTCTATAGCCGGGCAAGCCAAAGCCCGGACCCGCTTCGCGGGCCCGGTCTTTGACTTCCCCGTATAAGGGTCGATCACTTACATCAGATTATGGTCGAGGACTTCAAATCATTTGCCCCTTACCGCTGTGTTTCAAATCCCAAAAGGGACTTTGAATTTTCTCACCATCTACTCAGAAATTTATAAAATTGTTTGCAGCTGTGGATTTTATTTAGTGAAAATAGTATATGGATAGTTTGGGTAAATTTGTATTGTTTAGCGCGATGTCTAATTTTTTCAACATTGAAAAACATGCTAAAAGGCGTATTGCAAAGTTTCGAGACATAAAGCAATGAATACTGTATATAGGGTCTTATAGATTTTTTAAAAACTTTGTAAGATTTTAGAGAACGATTTCAAGAATATTTCAAGTAAACAGCCGGCTCACTGGGCTCGTTTTCAATTTAAATTAGTTGCTATTTCAAGTCATGATAACTTATATGAAAAGAAATTTCGCATCTATATTTATGACGTATTAAAGGTTTATTTTTCTAAAATATGATATTAAAAAAGATTGATAATTGCTAAAATATAAAATAAACATGGTTTGACATCAAACAAAATAGATATGTTATGTTTAAAATTCCATATACTCACGCCCGGCAAACTGTCGCTCCACTTCAAAATTGTGGTGTACGGTAAAACGAGCGAACGGCATTTCCGAGATAGAGCGGAAGGCCGATTTAAATGCCTAATTGTAAGTATTGTTTATGTTTTTGTCTTGTTATTCATTTAAGTTTTATTTTTTCGAAAAACGGAAAATGTAGTTCCGTGTAGGATTGATTTAGGCTTCCAATGATCTAAGCTGTTACAAAAACAAAATTATATTAAGCCAAGGAGAACTTTTCTCCCTGACGAAGCGAACAATGATTTGTAGAATATTGAACTTCCCAACCATAGAAATGCCATACCCTTCGGATTTCTTAAAAAAAGTTTATTAGTAAATTATCAACCCATAATAAGAACTTGTCCTTCGTGCAAAATAAATTACTCCTGAAGGATTTCCTAGATTTGTAAATCGATATTTTTCGAAAGTAGTGGAGCGAAAGGTCAAGAGATGGAGCAAAAGGTTCGATGTTGAGCGCAAGGCGATATTAATTTGACGTATTAGGAGGAGCGTAGTCTATGATTTTTTACATATAAAAGCTATAGAAGTTAAAATAGACGTGATCAAGTGTTGAGACCGAGATATATATACCTTTTAAAGACAACTAATAAAGTGTGATATCCTTTCAACGACTATATAGCGTAATAAATGTAATGAAGGTGTCACCTATGGCTGCCGTGTAGATTCCATTACATGTTGTATTTATGTTCGAAATTTGGATGAGGCCCGACCATTGAATCATACAAATGTATGCATGGCATAAAACAGGATGCCACTTATTCGAGGTCAATCATGATTTTTCACACGGTTATGTACATTTAAAAACGTGTGTCCGTGCAAATTCGTCAAAATTGAATATTTTCAGTTCTACCGCGAACAAATGTTTCCGAGCTGGTACGTGTAACGCGCTTGTTCAGGCCAAAATGTTATGTTTTTCGAAAAATTAGATATTCAAGGTGCAGAACAGAAGCAAAATTATGCAATGCATGGAACATATAAAATTAAATGGATCACTACTACCGAGTTCAATTAACAATGACTTTCTGTTATTATTCATTAGTATCTCTAACGTACATGTTCAGAGCAAACACAAATAAGCCACGTTTTCATGAATTTGTAAGGTGGGGAATCGCTATGAAAATTGTTGACAAAGTGTCAGTTGCTATAAGGATAAAACACGTGTTTCAGTTATGTTTCAAGATACTTCCTCCCTTATTTAGCATTGTTGTTTAGTTTTTTTTTTATTTTCAACTCAAAGTGTAAATAGAAATTTCTACTATAGCTAGGTCTATTATAATATTGATAATTTTAGTCCGAACACCGACTGAGCTCTGCCTTTTTTATTACGTTCGTTTTGTTCATAGATAAACAAAGAAAATCTTAGATACTTATTTCAACTTAATTTTTTCTTAAACCAGGATTTGTACTGCAGTGTTTGATTATAAAACTAAACATTTCTATTTACATTTTGAGAGGAAAATAAAAAAACTAAACAACAATGCTAAATAAGAGAGGAAGTATCTTGAAACGTATTATATCCTTATAACGACTGACACCTTGTCGACCATTTTCATAGAGATTTCCCACCTTACAAATTCATGAAAACGTGGCTTATTTGTGTTTGCTCTGAACATATACGTTAGAGCTATTAATGGCAGAAAGTCATTGTGAACTGAACTCGGTAGTAGTGATCCATTTAATTTAATGTGTTCCATGCATTGCATAATTTTGCTTCTGTTCTGCACCTTGAATATATAACTTTCGAAAAACATAACATTTTGGCGTGAACAATCGCGTTACACGTACCTGCTCCGAAACATTTGTTCGCAGTAGAACTGAAAATATTCGATTTTGTCGAATTTGCATGGACACACGTTTTTAAATGTACATAACCGTGTGAAAAATCATGATTGACCTCGAATAAGTGGCATCCTGTATTATGCCATGCATACATGTGTATGATTCAATGGTCGGGCCTCATCCAAATACCAAACATTGTTTGTTTGTTTGTTTTTTTGTTTCATTTTACGCCTTTTCCAAAAAGTATTTCAGTCATATAGACGGGTAGTTTCCTAACCATCGTTCCTGGAGAGGTACACCAGTACTAGACTACCTTCCTCCGTGCAAAGCTACCAAAGTATCTCCCGGGGATCGAATCCATTCCAGAGAAGTAACTGGATTAGAAGTCATTGACTCTAACCCCATGACCACGGAGGCGGTCAATTTCGAACATAAATAATGGAATCTACACGGCAGAAATCGGTGACACCTTCGCGATTACATTTATTACGCTATAGTCGCTGAAAGGATATCACACTTTATTAGTTGTCTTTAAAAGGTATATATATATCTCGGTCTTAACACTTGATTATGTCTATTTTAATTTCTATAGCTTTTATATATAACAAATCATATACTACGCTCCTCCTAATACGTCAAATTAATATTGCCTTGCGCTCAACATCGAACCTTTTGCTCCATCTCTTGCCCTTTCGCTCCACTACTTTCGAAAGATATCGATTTACAAATCTAAGAAATCATTCAGGAGTAATTTATTTTGAACGAAGGACAAGTTCTTATTATGGGTTGATAATTTACTAATAAACTTTTTCAAGAAATCCGAAGGGTATGGCATTTCTATGGCTGGGAAGTTCAATATTCTACAAATCATTGTTCGCTTCGTCAGGGAGAAAAGTTCTCCTGGGCTTAATAAAATTTTGTTTTTGTATCAGCTTAGATCATTGGAAGCCTAAATCAATCCTACACGGAACTACATTTTCCGTTTTTCGAAAAAATAAAACTTAAATGAATAACAAGACAAAAACATAAACAATACTTACAATTAGGCGTTTAAATCGGCCTTCCGCTCTATCTCGGAAATGCCGTTCGCTCGTTTTATCGTACACTACAATTTTGAAGTGGAGCGACAGTTTGCCGGGCGTGATACTATAGGTGGTCACAATATGACTATAGGTGGTCGCAATATGAATATATAGTGTCATTAAAAAGATCAGCTTTACTTGTCCTGTCATAGGGAACGCAGCTTTCCACACATAGTTTATTCATTTTTTTATTCAAATTAGGCATATTCAGTAAGAATTTCATAGATTTTTATAAATTTCTGTGGTTAAAATATATTACTCAAGAATGAGAATAGTATGTTTAAAAAAAGTGAAACGCTATAAAACTGCTTTTAGGAAAATATCTGTCTTTTTTCAGTTCAAGATTATATCGGCTGTTTGCTATCATTATATATGAATGAGAACCAACTTAATGCGTTTGCGACCAGCATGGATCCAGAGCAGCTTGCGCATCCGTGCTGTCTGATCAGGAACCATGCCGTTCGCTATCAGTTTCTCTACTTATAGCGAACAGCATAGATCCTGATCAGACTGCGTGGATGCACAGGCTGATCTGGATCAATGCTGGTCGGAAACGCGTTGGTTTAGTCAAGGCGCAGCTCAAATGTATTTATGAGATACATTGTACTTTATTACGTTTTACTATTACTTTACTTATTTATTCATTTTGATAACAAAATAGTTTAAACTTCTCAACTTAAAAAAATAAAGATAATGAAGACTGCTATTTGAAATAGGATTACCTTATGAAAGTTACTAACTCCATATCTAAATTGGATACATGATAGAATTAACAAATAAAAAAGAACAACGTTTAGATTAATATCCATGTCTTGAATGTTTTAAACAGTTTCTGAATCCCAAACTCAGTCCGTTTCACAAAATAATATTTCGAGTTTTGAATGAAACAAAATTTTTGTTTCATTTAAGTGCATTGTTTATGTTTTTATATTTCTTTGGCGGTCTGTACTTAACTTTGTGCGGTAAACAAAATGGGTGGTGACACAAAGAGAGCCAGTATTTCCAAATCTCTTTTGTTACATAGATACCCGGTTATATATCCAAAACAACCCCATCTTGTGAAACATGTGGCATGTTTCAATGTTTAGAGATGCAAGAATTTGTTGATAATTTTGTAGGAAAATTGAGCGAAATTTAATTGTTTAAAAATGTTGCGTGATGAACCTGGGTTTAAAGTTTATCATTTGTGGTTTTTATCTTTGTATACATAACGGTTGCCTCCCTAACCACCATGTGAAAGTATAACAGCGTCAAGGTATGAAGAACTAAAAATAAAATAGGCCGAGCTAACCTGGTAACTTTTCTTTTCTTTCTTTTTTTTTTGTCTTAAACTGAAAATTGATACTGCGTTGACAGCGAGCTTTTGTTTCATAAAAGATGAACAGATACAAATTTTATTTATGTGAGTTTGTAGTCATGTAAAGTCATATTTAAGAATTCCTTGGTAGAATGGCATAAATAACAAGCATTTTGTGAATAAACAAAACTTCCTGCTTTATTTACGGTGATGGATATTCAAAACAAATATTTTGATCAACGTTAAAATGAAGATAGACAATAAATTTCTCTTTTACCTGGGCAATGGGAATTAAGTTCGTGAATGTACCCAATTTCAGAAATGCTGAACATACAATAGGTCTAAAATAACTTTTAAATTTATATGTACAAAAATATACCACGGTTCTTGTAAAGTGAAATTTGTTTTGGCATTTTATGTATAAAATACCAATGTTCTACAACTCACTGCGCAAACATTCATGTACTACAACTCACTGCGCAAACAATCATTAATCTGAAGACACTTTCCTAAATGATAAATGACTTTGATGATTAATATAAATACCAAATTTTCGTCTCTCCTTTCATGTTGTTTTTGTTTTTTATTTATTATTCAGTACTTAACTTTTGTTGGGTGGATGTCAATTGATTATTTCGTTGGGTTTATTTTTTCGTGGCAATGTCATCTACGTGGGTGGGCAGGTGGGTACATAATATCAGTTATATATGTGCTGACAGGATATACGAGAGATTATAATAATGCAAATACATTTTTTTTCGATTTTTATTTATTTATTTATTTAGCTTACGCGCTTTGTATTCAATCCATACATACTATTAGGAATAGCTCTTCCAGTCATATTCATCTCATTCATGCTTTATTATACAATTATTGACTAGTGTGACATTGAATATGATGTGATATTCAACGGCAGATGACATATGCCGAGGTCAATATGACTTCTGCCGGTGAATACCACATCATATTCAATGGCACACTAGTCAATAATTGTTTTATTATATGAATAGGCTTCGTTGAAGCGCGGCAAAAAGACGCACGTGCCAGGCGTGCAACAACTACGCGAATGCTGCACATGCAAAAGTAATTCAAGTTTAAACTCATCATTGCGGTGTAACCTTTAACTATGATAGTAAAATAGTGATATTTTAGTTGAGAAATATGCCATAAAGAACAAACCGCAACAATAGTTTTTAATAAACACGCGTAACTAACAGTCTACGGTATATGGATATATAATATGAGTATCAATCTATTTTCAGACTGGAAAAATTCAATTCAGCCAGTGAATATGATTCTATAATCAAAGCACTGCAAGCACTGACGTATACATTGCTTGACAATCCGGTCTCTATGTGTGTCATCAATACCATGTTGATTTTAATCTACTGCCCTCAAAATCAATAGAGGTCATCTTCTGGCTTCGGCCAATGTCCCTAACAAGTTACACAAACCTAGGCTTATGTTATGCTGTTTTTTTTTTTCATTTGATTCTTTCAAAATACTTTTCGTAAAATTATTATATTTTCTTGTTTATGTTATAAAAAGTTTTTAAAATATTGAAATTCAGAAATATGTAAATTATCAATTAGCCAGACCTCTGACATGTTTATTGCAATTTACGTTTTAAGTTTTCTTATTTGATTATCGGTTTGACTTAAAGAAAGGAATTAACAGGCCGCTGACTTTTGACATCTGGCGTGTTAACCCTTTCCCCCATGAGCATATTGTGAAAAATGGCCATTTCACTGAAAAGCCTCCTCTTACAAGTTCAAACTGCTATGAAACTATGAAAAATGCTTCAATACTAATCAAACTTGGCACAAATGTTGACTGAACCATTGCCTTTGTAACGACATACTCAGTCTTAAATTTCCTGTTACTATGGCAACGAGGGGACATCTCAAAATTGCCAAAAATCACTATTTTGCCTCGATTTTTTCCATCAAAATTTATTTCAAAGTGCTGCAACTTCTCAAGGGATTGAGATAGAGTCAAAGGCTTTTCAGCGTTGGTTACACGTTACCTTATGATCGACCTGGGGTCATTTTAAGCCTCTCACAAGTCCAAAATTTTCTTGGCGATGAGGGGGAATACGCCCCCCTCCAACCCCCCAAACAGAAGGGGGCACATCCCCCTTCTGGCAACCCCCTGATGTATCTTTTGGATGGGGGCGGCGCCGAAAAAGTGCTCACTTTTTTAGCAACATTTCTCAAACGAAAACATGTGTTTGGGGCCCAAATAGGGCATATTTTCACTATTTCAGGCCTAAAAGGGGGGGGGGGGTCGAAAGTGCGTTGTTTCGCGTATATATGAGGTAAAGGGTTAATAAGTCTTAATCGAACCATTTTATTGGCCAAATCTACAATTTCATATTTGATCAAATGTATTTTCATTGGTTAATATTTTCCTGTTTGATGGTCATTTTTTCATTGGTTAATTATTGAAACCTTTGTTACAATTATTTTTGTATTAATAAAAGACACAGAACTTTTTAAAATAGAAGGATTCAGACAGATATACAGTAAACATGTAATGGGTTGGTGCCGCAGTTTTCTGCGGTGCAATTTAATGTACATATATTTGTTATTTTGACCGGTCAGAACTGTTGGTGTAAATATGAAAAAAAAGGAAACTAAATTAAAAACAGAAAAAACGGACTTACTGAGTTGTGTGTTGATGTTGCCAAAAGGATTTTTAAATAAATACCGAATAAAGATGAGTGACTATTTCAATGTAACGGAATATCATTATAAAACAGAGAAAATTACGGCACAGACTTAATTACTTGTTAAAGTATATCATGGACTCGGAAACCTACCCCCTCCAGTACCACCTAAAAAACCAGCACCACACATACTTCTTTTTAAGTTATTAATATGGGACAATGAAGAGGTTTCGTTCCTACAGACATGTGCTGCGTTTTGCCTGGCAAGATGCTAGACTATATTGTTTGCAAAACTGAAGAGCAATACAGAAATCAGTTTGCGAAACACCTGTAAGCAATGTATAAAAAAGTCACGTTGACCAATGAGATTGCAGCTATATTTAGATCATATAATAATCTCCCGTATATCCCGCCACTTACTTATGAGAACCGTAATAATTTAAGTGCGTTTTCATTTAATCAAAATCTCTATCAGAGTCCATTGACCATCTAGTCTTGCTTAAAGTATTCAAATCAGAAGGTAAATACACCTTTATATATATATAAAAAAAAACTATACTCAAATATGTACAGGTTCTGGTTTCTATCAAATAACCATGGCAAAAATTACATCCATATAAACTAACATCTTCCAGACCTCATTTGAAACAAGTATCATCCTAGAGTGTGCATGTGCCCAAAATGTAAACCCAGTAATACTATTATATACCCACCTCCCTTATATGCTCCACGTTAATAGCACACGTTTATAAGTGTCAAATAGTCAAATACAACGTCCTTTTATGTCTAACACAACATCCTCTTCTCATGTAACATGGCCTCAGATTAAAATGTAGTTGTGGGTCTACTTAAGTATTTACATATAGTACGCTTCATCCAGGTAATACATGACAGGTATCCAGCACAAAAAGTTGTCGTTGGAGGTCATATAATTGATCATATGAAAATATAAATATCCACACTGAATATATTGCAGTTTTTTGTTGTTTTTGTTGCTGCTGCTGCTGCTGCTGCTGCTGTTTGTTTGTTTTTGTTGTTGTTTTTGTTGTTGTTGTTGTTGTGTTGTTGTTTTTTTTTGGTTTTAAGAAATAACGTTTCCATACTGAAAGCAAAAATTAAAAAAGAAATGAAAGTTAAAATATATGTACATGATTAAAAGATCTGCGCTATTGTCTAGGAATTAGTGTAAACAAATGTAAGCAATTGATTTCTTACTGGAATTGTAATAGCGAGCTCGACGAGCTGGCCCGAAGGGCCTGCTCGCAAAGCGAGCTTTACAGTAACGCAAGTACCTGCTAAGTGATGGTTTTGAAAACTTTCGTCCAAAGTACCGAATTGGACACATCGCAACCTTTCGAATTTAAAGATAACGATAAAAACTGAGGAATTCTGACTGAAAACGGATGTGTAGACTGGTCACCCGCGCACGTTTATGGGAACCATAATTGGACAGGGAACCAGAATAACGGAAGCTGTGTATAAAAAATGAAAATCGAAGGCGCCATTTTGTTTGAAATCTGATAAATAAAAACAATTTTTTGTCGAATTTTGTTGTGAAAACTATCTAGAATGAAAGAAAATGGTCTAACTAAGAAAATGAATCCGAACACCAATATCTTTTATTCAGTCGTTAACGCTGTACAGACGTTTAAAGTATTGTTTACGTGACGTCACAATGTAGCGCCAAACAGCACGTGCAAAACAAACAAATCAAGTACGCTATTTTAATGTCGCAAACGTTTTAAGTTTTACATTTATTTCACTTTAAATAATCTTTATTTCGCTTGAAAAATTATAGAGTGAAATAAAATAAACAACGTTTTATCAACGTTTTCAAAACTCGTTATTCCTTTCACGACAGGGGCGGAGCCATATTTAACACAGTACGTATGACGTCACACGCACTCGTTACTGCATTTGAAATAAAAATGAGCGATTATTTCATACTATTTCACGTAAAAAGTACATCGAGCTCGCTTTGAGGCTTTGCCTTTTTCATATTAATTAATGCATATACACTTTTTTCATTTAAAAATAATGTTTAGCTGACTAAGAAATGATTGAATGAATGAATGAATGAATGAATGAATGAATGAATGAATGAATGAATGAATGAATTCGGGCTCTGATCGGATTCCATTTTATTTCACTGAATGACGGAAAAGATGAATTATCATACTTTTTAATCAGTATTATTCCTGAAGCACGTTTTTGTGTTTTATATAATTTGATGTGTTTCTAATGAATGTCAGACGTTTCACTCCCAAGACATTTCACTATTGAGACGTTTCACTCCCAAGACGGTTCACACCTAGACGTTTCACTCCCAATTTGTCAATTGTATGGACGTTTCACTCCCATATTTTTAGATATTTTTTAGGAAAGTTAACAAATTTATTTCCATTTTTAATAGCCATATCAGGATTGATTATTTATATTGATGTATGTTTTTCTGTTGTAGATAAGCAATTAAAGTTATGTAATATACATTTTTTTATTTTTGTTGCATTGAAAAATGGTTTAATAGTTGATGTTGGTTACTCAAAATAAAACACACAATAATTTATTGTTAAAAAGGAATTCATACTAAGTAACTAATTTACTTATATAAACTATAATATAAACTCTTGAGAATAATATTGTCATTAGTACTTTAATAAAAAATAAGTCACATGGAAACAATGTCATTAACTTGATATCAATTATTTTTATCAAAAAAATTATTGTTAAAATAATAAAAAATATCAATTATATAGTAATAATATTATAAAATTAAAATATTTGTTATTTCATGTATCTTAAACGATGATATGCAAAAGATTTGTATAAAATTAATTATTCTTTTGAATTTTTCTTTATTAATTTATTAAAAAGTAGCCATTAAACAAACGTAGGTAATTGTGGTGTTAACAATAATCTCATCACCTAATTAGTTGTATAAACACTGTGACCAACAACTAACAGTTTGACATCACTATTAAATCAGTTGTATAAACACTGCACTTTAGCATCAACAGTTTACTAATCAGTTGTTTATTGGACCATAAAAATTGTTTATAGATGACATCCAATTAAAACAAAAGTCTTGGAAACAGAAACTTCTCCATTATAAGTTTTGTTTATATAACAAATTAAAATAATATTTAATCCGATATATACATAAATTATTTTAGAAAATTTGCAGAATGCAAATATATACTTAATGCAAAGAAAATCACCTATGAATTCTTATCATTAACAGCTGTAAAGAACTATAAGATAATACAATTATATCCAGTCTCCAACATATATCCCCCCCCCCCCACAAAAAAAATAATTAAAATAAAAAAAAATAAAGAAGAAGAACATGAACCACAATGTATGTAAATTTTAATATGTTTTCATGCAACTTCTCTGATATTTAATATCATCATTCTTTAATATCATCAGTTTTATTATGATTTAAGATGGCTCATGTTATGAAAGACAATTTTTCTTTTATATTGAATTTTAGTCACAAAATAATGATTTTACATCACAAATATTGAAAAAGTCCCAATGCCTTTATTCTAATTTTATCTAAAGGCATTTCTGATTGCAATGGCCATTAAGTTAAATTACTTATCTATATAGGTACTGCTTGACAAAGTTTTAAACCTTCTACATATACGTACATAATACAGGGTCTAAAATTTCATTATTTTGTCTATAAAATATAATTTACTGTTTAAAAAGTATTTATGATAACAAAATAATGCATTCTTACCTGTTCCACATGTACGATAATAAATATAGAAACAGGGATAACAATTATGATACACAAACTTAAGTACGGAGTAAATAGTCATTAACAAAAAGTGTAATTAATTTTTATTAAATACAAAGTCTATTTATTTTAGTATACATGTATCATCAGTCTTAGAAAAATTTTGGTATAAAAAGGGAATGAAACGTCTTCAAGACGTTTCACTCCCATTTGGGAGTGAAACGTCTTGGTGTGAACCGTCTTGGTGTGAACCGTCTCAATAGTGAAACGTCTGTCTACCGTTTCTAATACGCGCGCAAAAAAACGAGCAAAAAACACAACAACATTAGTTGATAAATCCAGTCATGCTTTGTCGTTCGCTTAAGTTTTTTTTATTCCAATAGGTCAAATCAACGGAAACATATTCTTAAACTTATACAGCGATAAACAAGTGCGCCTATTTAACCGGAAGTTGTCGTCAGTGTAAAATTGAAATCTGAATTTCAGATATTTTATAACAAAATGGGGGCATTTGACTTTGATTTTTTGGATGATGTCAGGCGAATGAATAAAAGACAGGTATTGACCGAATTTAAGTTGGATTTTGTATAGATTTATAGGCACAATCTACCTTTTACTCACCGAAAATTCTACCGCATATGCTAAATCTTTTCCCCACCCACTAGTTTCGCTATGCAAAACCGGCTTTTATTGGAATATCTGTTGTTAGGTAGCGAATCGTGCAGATAATCTGCAATAATTTAATGAAAACTGCATATTACATGATAAGATTTATTGCATGCAGACAATTGTTTTAAAATTTAGAATGTAGTTAAATTATTTTCCTTCTTTGCACCTCAGACTCACCTGTCCTCCTTGACTGCTCCCCAGTCCCCATATTTTGAGAAGCATTGGCTAGCTGTATGGACCCATATTGCTAACCAAAAGTTCTAGTCATACATGAATCACATAGGACTAGTCTATACACACTGTTGAAGTATACGGCATTTTTAAATCAAAAACCCAATTTATGTTTTTATCATGAAAAACTTTATTACAGTAGGTATATTAATTTCTAGCATTTCATGACCGGAAGTTTTTTCTTCTGAAAATCACGGACTTCAAAGTCCATGAGAAAAAACAAGGAGATACATGTAAATTGTAAAATTATGAAATCATTTTTATTGACAATATGTAGATGTAAAACATTTGTAATAAAATTGTCATCCCAAACACTTTTAGCATGCGTTGAAAATTTCAAGCTGGTTGTTTGCTCATTTATATTAATAATTAATAGATACAGCTCACCTGTTTTTCATGATTGCATATTGCAGCATGAGAATGCTATTGTGTCAGTCACGGACTTAAATTGACAATAAAGTCTGTTGGTCAACTTCTAGAGGTAGATAGATTATGAGAAAGTATTTTTAGTAATTATAATTTGTAAATAAAACAGAATTTTCAGCGGCTCAAAGTGTTTGGAGCTCCAAACACATTAACATCCAAATAAATTGTATATTTGTAAATCCCAGCTCATTCAAGTATCAAAACATCAACAAAACCAAATATACATTGTCTTGAGAAAAAAAACTTATTACATCGTCATGTTGTTGTTGTTGTTTTCCAGCTGTATTACCAGGTTCTAAACTTTGGTATGATAGTATCATCAGCACTTATGATATGGAAAGGCTTGATGGTGGTTACAGGAAGTGAAAGTCCAATCGTGGTGGTTCTCAGGTAAAAATATCATCTTTTTTTCTCTCACTGCTGATTCAGAAATCAAATGGGATAGTGGCAGGATGGTGGCGTAGCCAGTGGTTAACGTTCAGGACCAGTAATCTAAGGATTGCTGTGGGTTCAGCCCCCGTCAGGGGCAATTCATTGTTTCCTTGAGCAAGAAACTTTACATTCTTTGCTTAGTACAGGTTGGTTCCAGAAATGGAAGTCTAGTCTGTCTAGGGTGTTTCAATAAACATATAGCTCCCAACACAATCTACCTAAAAATAAATTTGTATAAACTAATTATCTGAGGACATCGAATCAGCTCTTTTGATTTTTTACCTGCACACCTGATAAAATACATACTGTATTTCTAAGCATTTTCATATATGAAGCAATTTTCATTTAATCTTTCTTGATTGGCAGTATGGAGTGAGCATTCCAATGTACAGTTCCATATGTGAAGTAATGTTCATAAAAGAAACACTTCAAAGTGTATTTGGCAGTATGGAGCCAGTTTTCAAATAAACAGTTCAATAATAATGTGAAGCAGTGTTCATAAAAGTAACATATATTAGAGTGGAATGTTTTGTTTTTCAGTGGGAGTATGGAGCCAGCATTCTACAGAGGAGATCTGTTATTCTTGACAAATTATCGTGAGGAGCCAATCAGAGCTGGTGAAATTGTTGTGTTCAAAATTGAGGGAAGAGAAATACCTATTGTCCACAGAGTATTGAAAGTGCATGAAAAGTAAGAATGCTGTAGTCTGTGGATTTTTTCTGCCCTTTGATATGCTTGCAGGTTCAGTTTTAAGGAAATTCTCTCATTTCGCTGATTAAATGGAGAGAATTTTAAAGATATACTGTGCTCATCCTTGAGGTTACAGAAATTTATTGAAATCTATGAAATTCTTACTTAATATGTCTAATTTGAATAAGAGAATGAATAAACTATGTATGGGAAGCTGCGTTCTGTAATCCAGGTCAAGTAAAGTTGGTCTTTTCGTAAAAAAAAAGCTGCCAGTTTTTTAATGACACTATACATTCATATTGTGACCACCTATAGTGTTTAGAGTTTTAAACACATCAAATCTACTTAATGTGTGAGGTCAAAACAAAACATGTTCATTTGATATTTACATTGAGACTGTGTACATAGCAATTATCAATATTTTGTAATATCAAATTTGAACAAAGTATATCTTTTAGAGAGATTTCATAAAAAGTTATACAACTGAACTATCTCAGTTGGTTTAGTTTTTGTTCTAAATCAAAATAAAAGAATTTTGCCAGAATATCAATTTTGAGCTAGACTTTTCAAAGACCAAGGAGAGCCATTGTACTCACTTTGATGTCTGTGTCACTGTCATACTTGCAAGTTGGTATCTCCAAAAACTTCGGAAGAGAATAGGTTGTAACATGGATTTTGATAGAATTTTTGCCCTTTTTTGGACTTTGAAAATTTTCTAGGCCTTTGTCTTACTATAAATCAAGCACTAAGAATAGTTGAGCATGTTGGCCTGCTGACAACTCTTGTTTTTCCGTTGTTAGCTTGACTATTCGCAGAATACTCAAGCTATTGCAGTCACCCATTTGACGGCGTCCCTGTGGTTAAGTTTTTACCTGTAAGCTGGTATCTCCATAACTACTGAATGGAACTTCACACACTTGTTCTCTGTGATTATCTAACATGATTGGCATGCACAAGTCCCATAACTCTGATTTGCTTTTTTGCATATTTATGCCCCTTTTTCGACTTAAAAATTCTTGAATAAGCTTTTGTGTGTAAGCTATTATCTCCATAAACTACTGAAGGGAATGGATTGAAACTTCACATGTGATGATGTGAAGGAGATGATACAAGCATCAATGTTATATTTGGTTTTCTATGAATCGATTATTACTATCATTTTCTCTTTCTAAAAAAATTTTCAGAGAAAATGGTACAGTAAGATTTTTGACAAAGGGAGATAATAACTCAGTAGATGATAGAGGGTTATATGCCCCTGGACAGTTATGGCTAGAAAAGAAGGAGGTAGTTGGGAGAGCTAGAGGGTAAGAACATTACAACATTTAAACATATATGAGCCGTGTTATGACAAAACCAACATAATGCATCCCCGCAGTCTGATCAGGATCCATGCTCTTCGCTAACAGTTTCTCTACTTGTTATAGGGTTTGTAAGCGAACAGCATGGATCCTGATCAGACTGCGTCGATGCGCAGGTTGGTCTGGATCCATGCTGGTCGCAAACCCATTATGTTGGTTTTGTCATGACACGGCTCATACTGTATGTGTATTTAAATTCGCGGAAGTAAATTTTCGCGGAAAGGTCCACTTTGGGTGTATATACAAATATTCGCGCTATTTTGAATTTGCGGAGGTGACTGCCGAAAATCATAAATTCGCGCATACCCATAAGGTTAAAAAAATAAGAGAAATTACTCTTAATAGATTAGGCAATGGTTTTCGCAAGCAGCCTTCTTTAATTTTACATACTTTTTATTACTGTAATCGTTGTGGGACTTCACAGTTATTTTCAACACCTGGCGTCAAACAATACGCTATTGTACAGAACAAAGACATTAAATTTGTCTTGCGGACAGATTATGGCAAACAAAAGAATGTATAAGCACTGAATAAGACCATAATCTTTTCACCGATATTGTTAAAATGTTGACTGAGTAATAGTGTTTTGTTTTCCATGTTTTCATCAGTTAAAATCGTTTATGTTTGTGTTGTTTGTATAGTTTGTTTAGAAAAACAAAATATAATCTGATCAGATGTCAAGACGTTTATAACTCAAACTATGAAATAAATAGCGTGGTGCAATGGTATTGTTCAATCCGATAATCATATCAGTCAAACAATAATACTGTAGCAAACTGTTTTATATACGGAGCTGTGAACACCCTGATATACAATGTTCTATAGATGCGCGAAAATATGACTATTAAGAAATTATTGGTGTAGAAATATTCGCGCTGAACAAGAATTCGCGGGTCAAATGTCACCGCAAAGATTGCGAAAATTTGAAGCCCGGGAATATTTCTACACATACAGTATGTGAGCTTGACTCATTTGACACGTACATATCTTTGAATGTAATGCAAACAAAGATTATTATGGTAAAACTTCACCAATGTTGATAAATTTGTAATATTATACTTGTAGGAGTATTTTGATCTAAAAATCTAGAAGTTGACTTGAGTCAGTTTCATTAGCGCAGTAATAGGGGCATCTGTGTCCAAGTGGTTACGTTTGTTGGAAGTCCTTTAAATGGCTTGCCCCTCACTGATGTGGGCCCTATCAGGGACTTCGAGTTCTTTCATGTGATATTCACCTAGCTTTTGGAACATCAGTGGTTCTATTCAATTGCCCATTGCTGTTAAGTTATGCACAGAGGGGCACCTAGGTCTTCCTCCACCAGTAAAGCTGGAAAGTTGCCATATGACCTCTGCTGTGTTGGTGTGACATAAAATCGGACTAAACAAAAGATTGAAATTAGGTCAGGATCTCACAAGGCACTAAAACACTTGTAATTGAAATAATATGTATTCCACTATAATGTAATTCATTTATGTTTTATCAGCAATATCATCTGACATAAAACTTGCATATAAAATACACATATTCTTACGATTAAGTGTTATTTGTGTAATTGATATTGTAAATATTTAGCAATATACATACGACAAAAAAATATATGTAATTTTACATTACATTGAAAAGAGTGACCTTAAGTTATAACAACTTCGTATTATTACTGTATTAATTGTGATAAACTTGAATTTTATCATGTTTAGTAATGATATGGATATTTTTCTTCTTCAGATTTGTGCCTTATGTAGGAATAGTTACTATATTGATGAACGATTATCCGAAATTTAAGGTAAAGTTTATTTTTTAGTACGAATGCAAATGTACGTTTGAATGTTTGGATAAGATGCCTAACATTGAATGTAAAAATAGGTTAAAATTGCCATCCCTAGTTTTTAGGGAATTTCTTAATTGGCAATTTATATAGCTAGCTATATATCCACCTCTTACCTAAAAGAGAGAGCATCAGATCGGTAATCCAGGGGCAGCTTGTTCAATCCTCAGGCATGGCGTAATTTTTCCGGAACATTGAGTCTAATGGTCATTTTAGACATTGTCTCTCATGTCTCACTGCTGATTCAGAAATCATGTGGGATAAGCGGGTGGTCACTTACAGAATTATCGATAATTACTAGTTTATTATCCATTAAAGCTGGTTAGATGGATCGATGCCCAAGATATGACCAAAAATTTGTTAAAATCAGAAAATTTTGCATGAAGTTTTTGGTGTATATCTAAATCTTCAGCCTCTGTAAATATCACATTTTACATTTCATAGACTTAAATATTCACCTTATCATTATACAATATTGTATATCATAATACTGCATTTTTGTAACGTTGTTTTTCACTGGATAATCACATGGCGCAGGTGATTTATGAATAAATTTTTAATTTTTTTCCTCTAATAAATAAATGTTATAGTATTATAAAATTTTTTATAAAGGTTCTTAACAGGTAATATGTTTATTTATAAACGATTATTTGCAATATCACCCTTGCCTAATGGCCAGGGTTATATATTTATACAAACAACTGTTTATATAGGGCCATATAACCTGTCAAAAATCTTTATAACTAATATTATAACAATCATATAACATCAAACAACATAAATATTATACAAAAATAATTTAACAATTTTAGATAGTTTTCATTTTTTTTTAAAGCTCGTAAAAATATGGGTTGAATTTGCCAAAAACTGGCATTGCAAATAGGAACCCGCAGCTATTTATAATATAGAATATTATTTTTGTATTTCAGTATGCAATCCTTGCGTGTTTGGGACTATTTGTGTTGATACATCGAGAATAATGTAGAGTCATCATCATAGGTTATCATATCTGTTTACATCAACATTTCCTCACCAGACATCAGGTCTACACATCCGGCAAGACGAGAAAGATATTTTTACAAAATACCAGAAAATGGAAAACAAGAGGATTATTTTGAAGTAGGAAAATCATATTGTTTGAGACATTTTTGAGAAAAACATTAATGGCTTGTTAGTTGTACTAACATTTTTTTCGCGATTTTTTCACGATTTTTTTTTCATTGAGGAAAAAAAAATTTTTAATGTAATTTCATTTGTCTTTTAAGGAAAGTATTTGGGATAAAAAAGAAACAGATTTTTGAACTTGTAGTGAAAATTAAATTTAAACCATTACTTTGCCTCATTGATTGTGACAAATTTTGAATGCTTTTTTGAAAATTTTAGTGTTAAATTTAAAAATACATAAGCAAGATGGAAAATTATCAGGCAGTCTAAGTGTAATATTCATTTCAACAAGCTCAGTGCATACCACAATAGGCAAATTGCTATGCTGTTTGTGTACAATCATACCAATTAGCACTTAGACTGTTGCCTGTTTAATATTACTATTATTATTGTTAAATGTAATAGCGGACTGATCCAAATTCAAACCAGGGCAAGTCCATTTATTCACATTTTCTCGTGGTCAAATCTGATTAAAATTTAAAAATCTAGTCACTTATAAGAAAAGAGAGATATATTTAGAGTGTAACCTCTGCATAGCAATACCCTTTTGGAAACAAATAAGTTTGGTTGTTGTAGAGAGGGAGTTTTTCTTGCGAAGTTAAAATCTATTTTTGAAATTTGTATTTTTGAGCAGAATTTGTTACTGTTGTTGAAAAGAGGTTATTGCTTTGCAGAGGTTATTGCTTTGCAGAGTTTGTCTTGTATTAAATAATGAATGGCAGGTGCACTGGAACACTGTCTTGGTTCGCTGAATTTTCTCTTGTTAGTAAAGGACATTAATCTCTTTATTTTGGTATCAGTAAGGGACTATTAAACTTTCTTGCCAAGGTTTTAAAGTCTGAATTGCATTGTTTATTAACATATTTTTTTACTCTTTATTTTTGTTTAAATCTTGGTGTTTAGGTGTTTGTGAGAAATAAAATTGTGGAATCTGGTTTGCATAATTATGTGTATATGTGTCTTCATCCTACATTTTGTTACACTTTTGTAAAAGATATTGAAAATAAATCATGATATTGTTGACTTTTTAATGGTGTAAGTTTTATATATATATGTTAATTGTTTATTTGATTGGTTATGATAAAAGTATTTTGTTTAAGGACTTGTTTTCTGTCAGTATTTTTGTCGGTCGGGATTGCACATTGTGTAGAAATACCGAAAAGTGTGATCTGGCCAAGCATATTGTATAGGGGTCCAATACAAGTTACATTGGACTGATATCAATAGCCCTTTACATAATACATTACTTCTCATATTTTTAACTTTATTTTTCTTTCCATAATATAATTACAGTAATGTCCGAAGAAAGATCACCCGATATTTAAATGCCACTCTTTGGATTTTACGCTTCAATTTTGTGAAAATTGATGCTCAACGAGAGTCAAGTAGATTTGTAATATCTGTTAATGATGTTGAAGGCGAATTTTTGACATGCAGTTTCAATACTGTGTTCTTTTGTCTCCATACATGGTTATGATACATCATCACCTTAGTGCAGTAACGGGTTAAATCCTAATAGATTTAATGGGTTACTGCAATAAGTGATGAGATATATCATTTTACAGCATTTATAAATGTGCAATTCTGAATGTAAGTAAGTGAGAATTACGATGTACATGTAAAAGGTTATGGGTTATTTTGTTACAGTAAATGTTTATGATTTTTATGAACATTGGATAAATGTTGTCTTAATATTTTTTGTGAATGATGTTGTTGTGTGTAAAAAGCTGTGGAGATATAAATGTCATGTGTAAATGTTAGATGTAAATGTCGGATGTAAATGTCACATATTCATATCATGTGTAAATGTCAATATGCATGCCAAGTGAAAATGTAAAGCACACATGCTAAGTGTAAATGTTAGGCACACATGTCATGTGTAAATGTCAGGCATACATGTACATGTCAAGTGTAAATGTCAGGCATACATGTCAAGTGTAAATGTCAGGCATACATGTCAAGTGTAAATGTCAGGCAAATATGTCATGTGTAAATGTCAGACAAAGACATCAGCTCATACATGTTTTATGCTCAGATTAGACATTGATATTATGTGTAAATATCTGACATGCATGTCAGGTTGCAATGTCAGACATACATGTAGTGTGCTAAAGTTCAACATTCATGTCAGGTCTAAATGTCAGACAAACATGTGTAGTATAAATGTCAGGTTTTGGTTATTTAAGTTATATTTAACTGTTTGATAATATCTCCCATTTTTCTTTTCATTTAGAAGATTCATTTCCTCACATCTTTTAATGTTATACACATACCCCCCAAAATGGCTGCCAGATTTGGCAAGGGAGGTAAATTCTTTGAAAATTTTTGTAACTGTAAATTCATTCCTTCAGATATATTGTAAATATGTCAATTATTATAGATACTATATTACGATTTGTAATAGACCAGGAGTGCTTCATTTTCTGACAAAGTCATTGCTTTCATGTGCCATACATTATGTATGGCTATTTTTCTTGTGTTATACTATTTGGCTTAACGTTTTATATTTGTATACATGTACTGGTACTGGACATAAGTTAAACCAAAGTGTAAATCTTGCATTGTATTAATGTTATCTTGAACTCTGCAAAATGTGTGTGTTTTTTTCTTTTCATCTAATCCCAGGGTACACACAAACTTTTACAGCTTTCATGGTGCACTACTGTTCATAACAGAGTGATATACAATGTATCTGGAAAAGTATGTGCATTGGAATTAGATGGAGAAAAATTCGTATTTGCCGAGAGTGTCTCCATTTACTGTAAGATTGAAAAACAATCAAATAAATGAGTTAAAAATAATCAAATATTATAATTTTTGTACTCCAAGTGTTTTTGATTTCTGTTCCGATTGTGTAATATTTGCTTGTATGAAATACAAAAATGTTAACTGTAATTCAGTAATTAATTTTGGAACATAGTTTTTTTTCCACATTTTGAGAAAACTGTCACTTATTGAACTGGTTGAATTGAGAAAAAAAATCAGTTCTTACACAACAGACTTGAAATTTTTGTGGGCATGAACAAGACTGGAAAAAAACACGTACATTCAGAGTACTTTACTATTTCTTTGTATGTCACATAGGTTATCTGTGGAGTTGTTATTATTAACAAGTATTGGTCAGTCAAAGTATAATTCAAATTGTATTGGTCACTTTATGATATTGGTCAGTTTGAAATAATGATCTTTTTCAGATAATGGTCAGTTCATATTGGTCAGTTGGAGACATAAGTTGATTAAGGATATTGGTTAGTTTCAAGATATTTATCAAACTAAGATATTGATTGATTCTATTCTAAGATAATTAATTAGCCTGAGACATGGGTCACCTTAAGATATTTGGTCAGTATGAGGTATTGGTCAATTTCAGATACTCATTTATTAAATTCCAAGATATTTGTTTAAATAAAGTACATTGTATTGGCCAATACTAAAGATATTCAGGTCAGCTCGCATCAAGGTATTGGTCAATTTTAAATCAGTTCAAAGATATTGGGTTAACTCAAGGAAATTAATCATTCAAACCATTATGTTGGTCAATTTCAAAATAATATGCCAAAGATATTAATCATTTCAGAACATTGGCTTTCTTAAGAGATTGGTCATTTCAAGATATTGGCCTACTTGATATATTGGTCATTTCAAGATATTGGCTCACTTAAGATGTTGGTCAATTCAAGACATTTGTAATTTCATGACCTTTTGTATATTCAGGTAAATGAAAGATATTGGATAACTTGTCGCCATTTTTCATTTCATATTTTTTGTGTTCAGGTCATTACAAGATCATGGATGATAAGATAATTCAGTTAATATCTCAGTTCAAGATATAATAGATAGAAAAAGTAGTCAATATGAGTAAATATTTGTCATTTGTACATTGTAATTGTGTGCTATAGGTAACTTTATTTGATAATGAATAAAATTGTAACTAATTTTGTGAAAATTTTGGTTTTTGTTTTCATTGTTTCATGCCAGTTTTCTGTGCTGATGCTCATTTTAGTTATTATATAATTAACTCTATTTCAAAGCAATCCTTAAATTAGTCTGCAAGAAAATAGCAATCATTTAATTAGTCAAGAAATTAGCAGACCTTAAATTAGTCGGCAAGAAAATAGCTGTCCTTAGTCGGCATGAAAATAGCAATCCTTAAATTAGTTGGCAAGAAAATTGTAATCCTTAAATAAGTCGGCAGGAAAATAGCAATTCTTATATAAGTCAGCAAGAAAATAGCCATACATAATTTATTCCGCAAGAAAATTATAATATACGAATGTTATATTTACTTGGTTTTTGCTTCAGCAAAATAAAATAACTTTGGCATCAGTAAGTTACAGGTTGAACAGACTTCTTGTGTTGCCCTAGTAACCGCTGTGGGTTTAAAACCCATCAAGGACTTTGGATTCTTTCATGAGAGGAAGCTATCTATAGAGCTTAGGGAAGGTTGGTGGTTCTACTCATGTGCCCACTTGTGCCTGAAATAATGCAGGAAATGGCACTCTGGGGTCTTCCTCCACCAATATAGCTAGAAAGTCACCATATGACCTTTACAGTGTTGTGTAACCTAAAATCCAGCAAAACAATCACAAGATGTGTTAATATAACATAACATAAGTATCTCTGCTTAAATGATATCTAGAAATATTTGGATCCTTTGGCATGCAGGCTTCTTGTCACATTCTTGTCACATTCTTGAGACAAGCGTCATATGTCATATATCGCCGATAGAAATGCCTACAAAGCTTTTGCATAAACCAATTCACACAAAACTGGACTAATGGATACTTGGTTATGGGCTACAAAAAATTGGGTATTTGTACAAAAATATGAAGAGCTTAAAGAAATTAAGACTGAAGGTCAAGGTCATGCCACAATTTTTCTTCTCTGATGCTCTCCTTTAGACCTTGGATGTATTTTTTAGTGACATGGATTTTTCTAAAACATATTATTTAAGCTCAACGCGAAACAAGTTCTTGCATCCTTGCAACTTAAATAAATCACTTTCATGTCCACTTGCTGGAACCAACCAATACTGATGTCATATGACGAATCATTCATCGTGACCCAAGTAGGGCTTGAACCCATGATCCCTAGGTTGAGAGGCAAACATTTATACCACTGGGATGTAAAAATAGCAGTTATTAACTTTATTCACTATAAAGATATTACTGACATTAGCAAACAATGGATGGCTTACCATCACAAAAGGTCACCTGAATGCATTTTGTGCTCAGGTGAGCTAAAAAAAAGTAGAGCAAAACCCATATATGGGTACAATATTTATTATATTTCATTGTCGGAATTTACATAATATCTTAACAACATTTAGGCCTAACAATCTCTCAGTGCACTTTATATACAAATAACTTGTCGAAATACATATGTACTAACCTTGTCAATATACATAATAATGTTTTAAACTTGTCAATATACATATGTACTAAACTTGACAATATACATATGTACTAAACTTGTCAATATACATATGTACTAAACTTGTCAATATACATATGTACTAAACTTGTCAATATTCATATGTTCTAAACATGTCAATATACGTATGTACTAAACTTGTCAATACACATATGTACTAAACTTGTTAATACACATGTATCAAATATGTCAATACACATATGTACTAAACTTGTCAATACACATGTATCAAATATGTCAATATACATGTAGTAAACTTGTTAATATGCATGTTCTAAACTTGTTTATCAATATACATGATTGTTCTAATGTTGTCAATATACACATACAAAACTTGTCAATAAACGTGTACCAAAAATTAAGAAATAATATATCCAAAACTGTGATTTTATCGCTCAATAAATTCACTGTTTGGAGTTCGGATGCGAGGAATTATATCACGAGGGCGTAGCCCGAGTGATATAATGATGATGATGCGTATCCGAACGACAAACAGTGATTTTATCAAGCGATAAAATCACCGATTTGGATATATTGTTTCGATTCTAACACAATATCAACAAATTAATGCTCCTGTACCTTATTATTAAGCTGAATTGTGCCTGATTTGTTTCCGTACTTATTTTCAGCGCGTCGTTTTTTTAGTGGTTATGTCACATGTATAATGATAACACCACATGTCTAATTATAGAACGCCAACAGTGATTTTGTTGCATAATAACACACTCTTTCGGTCCTTCTATGTTCAATAGGGAAAAATGCGGGTCGTGTTAGAATTGTCAATAAACATATACCAAACTTGTAAATATACATGTACAAAACTTGTCCATGTACATATGCACAACTTTTCAATTTACATTGCTAAACTTGTCAATATACTTTTGCAAATCTTGATAGTCAATATACGAACTTATCAATATAAATGGATCAAATTTTTTTCCATATAAATGTACAAAACTTGTCAATGTACATGTACCAAACTTTGTCAGTACACATGTACCAAACTTGACAATTGACATACATAACATTTGTTCATGTACATGCGCAAAATTTATTTACATACATGTATAAACTTGCTAATGTACATGTACAAAACTTAAATATATATACATGTACAAAATTTGCCAGTGTACATTGTATTAACAAAACATGTCAATGTACATTTTCATGTACACACAAAATATGTAAATATACATGTATATACAAAAACATGAAAATTCATTAATATAAAATAAAATTTGAAAATATAAATCTTACTTTCTTCAACAAAATAAAACTGGCCAGTGTAAAAGGGAACGTACACAGAAATATTTAGGTCTGCACTATATAAAGATATTTGAAAATATATTTAACAGAAATAAATGTAAACAAAATATTACATATCAATTTAACAGTTCTACAAGCACTTAATAACCTTATTCAACGATCAAAACATGTATTTATGGATTTGAATTCAATACGTATGAAATTTAAACAATTCATATATCAGGGGCCCTTGCTTACTTTATTTGATAATGTACATATCCATGTATATATGATAAACTGTTCTCTGTGAAAATATCTTACTTTCAAACTTACTGGCAAGTTTAAATTTCGTTTACTTTCAAAAAGTAAAAAAAAAACAGTATGCTTAGCAAGTAAAAGTAATCTACTGAAACTATTGAATGACTAAATGTTTATTCACATGATTACTATGGCAAGAAAATTAAGATAAAAAATCAAAACTTCTTAACAACAACCAAAATCTTTATATCTCAGGGTGTTGCTTGGCACAGGTTGTTCTATATTAAGTTAATAACCATAAAATTCCTAGTAAACGCGCCCCTGGGAACGTAACATTTTCCAAAAGGGGGGGGGGGGGTATTAAAAATACATTTTCTCCTAAATCGAAAAAAACATTGTAAATATGTTTGGTGTTAAACAAGTTTTCCTAATAATGTTATAAAGTGTTAAACTTTTAAAGTTTTAGAGAAAATTTATTGTTTATTATTATTTATTATTTGTTTTCCCATAGAAGGCCAAAACATTGCATCCTTTGCGTGACTGAGAGTTTCATTGACTCCCATGTGACCTATATGTACAACATTTTTGTGTTAACTATAAAATACAATGGATTCTGTAGGATTTGAATAAAGTTATGGGTTTACTCTAGAATTTAGCACTGGTGAATAGATTTTTCGCTTATCAAAAAATCTGGGGGGTGGGGGCGGAACTTTCTTAGGGGAGGGGCATTTAATAAGAATTTTACGATAATTACTATAATATTTAACAAAATATCAGCACTATGAACTTTTAAAAGCAATAAGCACTCAGTACTTTAACATTTTTCATAAATGTGACATAAAAAAATATATAATTAAGTTATATATTAACACAACCAATGACTTTCAAAAATTGTGAGTATCAATAAAAAAAAATTGAAGAATTAATTAACATTCAGGATCTAAGGTAAATATTTCTTCCCTAGCACATGTATATATCTATCTATAGTCTATACATCTATTGATATAATTATGAAAATCTCGTTTACACGCCTGTTTCTTCATATTCTTCATTTTCTTCACTAGAGGCATGCTCAATCCCATCAGGCAACTGTCTTCCTAAACCCTGATTGGCTATTTCAGTCACATGACCTGAAAACTCCCCCTGATTGGCTGATAATGGAACTATTTGATTTGATGATGTGGAAAAGTCAGGTATTCCTACATTTTTTCCTGGAAGTGACATTTTCATATATCCAGAATCCTCGTTCACAAAGTTAGGTTCTGCTTCATTGGGTCCTTCATTTTCACTAACCACGTCAAAGTCTGAAATTTCTTGGTAATTATCATGATTTTGTGGAGGGTACCCCCTCTTCATATTTTCACTTCCAACTTCAGTAACTTTATTAAAATTCACATCAGATTTTAACCTAGTTTCCAAAACTTTTGCTTCCTCGTTCATAAACACATCGTCTTCCAAGATATCAGCAGGAGCTACATCATAGTCATTTAACTTGATTCTCGGAATTTTTCTCATATTTTCCGCGTGAACATTTTCAACACTATCAGATATCTGTTTATTTGCGTTAATATTATCGCTATCAGCATAATCCATATGCTGCGTATTGACCTGAACACTTGAAATTGGATAATGAGATCTATTCACTTTTTTGGGACTTTTTGATTTGGATTTTGGTGTCAACTGTGCGGCACTAGTCATACCCTGCGTATTAACCGAGTACGACGTATAGCCACCATTGGTTGTGGATTTCTGTACTAACTGTTCCGGAACACTGTCTGGAGTATCGTAAACATCTTCATAGTCGTTATACTGGGCATCGGGAGCGATCTGTCCGTGAAAAGTTGGATTATACGAATACTGAAGACCACTATTAGCATTCCCATATATATTTCCGGAAACGTTTCTCTCAACAGGAACGTTTTGTTCAATTTCACTACCTGAGTTTCCATACACATTTTCGGGAATATTTCTTTGTGCAAGGCTCCTCCTTTCTCTGCTAGATGCTTCGTCACTGACTTGGCTCGTATATTTATTATCGCGACTAACTTTACCAATTTGTGTATAGTAGTCCTCTGGCACTATGCACTGCTTAACTTTACTTTTAGCCGGGCTACTGTATATAATTTCTTGATTTTGACTTCGTACCTGCCGCTGAAAGTTATCACTTAACGTAATTTCAGCATTTTCATAAATTTTAGCACCATATGAAAATTGCTGAGTATTTGCAATGTTTATACTGTCAGTATTGTGCCTTCCAGCAGTTTCATGTTCCGTAAGAACTCTTCTCTTTGGGAGGCTGTAGACATCGTCCGGATTCGATGATAACGATGATGTGACCGATGTACTACACGATGACACATGTTCCTTGTACGACGGTGGACCGGAATATGGCGGAAGATTTTCTACGGGAAAATACTTTTCATGCTTCATCATAAAATTTGTTTTTTCTCGATTCTGATTCAACTGTGGCTGAACCATTTTTCCGGAATTATTTTCTTCGTTCATAGATTCTTTTAATATGAATGTTTTTGCATTTAAACTAAAATTTTCTCTTATGGCAATGTCAGCACAGTCTTTTCTTGTTTTACGTTTTGGCGTGGTATCAATTTTTTCCGAAATTCTATCATTTGATATCGAAGGGCTCCTTGATTTGCTATTCCTATCAACAATGTGAAATGCAGAGGTTCCTCTTTGAACAGGTTGTGGAGGTAACTGCTGTTCCGCGATTTTCTTGCGGGAAACTGGTTGCGGAGGAAGTTGATTGTGCGTTCCACGTCTCAAAGGTTGCGGGGGGAGAAAATGCGTCTGCACAGATGCGCGAGTTTTTGGTTTATTTGATGGATTATTCAGCATACTGTCAGAGTATGTGACAAAATGTACATTATCTGCGGAACTATTTTGAAACTGTTTATGAATGTATGGTTGATAACCCTCCCCTGTTTTCGGTCCTGCTTTGTGTATCTGTTGGGACAACAAGTAACTTTCAGATCCAACACCAGATCCCTGCGTGTAAACAAAATGACCTTTACTTGGTCCAGTAACCGCGTCCAAATTTCTTTCACTCGATTCTGAAGTTCTCCGAGAACTACTTTCACTATTAACTGTATTTACACCACCCTGAGATTGAACATTCCAGCCGTAATTCTGAGTGTACGTATTAAAATTGCCCTGGTCCCTGTTTCTTTGGTTCGCTCTTCGAGGCTGTGGTGTATGTGAACGTACTTTCTGAGGTATAATCGGTCTCTGCGATACAGGTTGTGGGGTTATTGCCCGTCTTGGACCAGTTTGTGTATTACTTGGACCATTCGATTGCTGTTCCCTGGTTTCTTGCAGATATCGCATCTGCAGGTTCAGAATGAGCAGAAGTTGGTCCGTATCTAACGTGTGTACAGTTGCAGCTCTTTTACCTTTCCTTCGATGCTCTTTTAACTTTCCCTTACTTTTTCCAGAACTCGGTACAGAGTCGAAGTTGACCGCACCTTCCCTACTTCCGTTTCCCGAAGAATCTAACGAGTCACATGACTTACTCAAACGTTTTGATGCCGAGAAACTATACCGTCTGCTTGCACCTATTTCACGATCAGGTGTCTTTGACAATCTCTGCCGAATGTTTAACTCCCTGTCTGGAGTTTTATTTATTTTGTATCTATTCGCTAAACTCTCTTTAGCTAAATCATTTAGTCCCGGAGTTTTTGACCTCTGACCTTGAACATTTTGACCTTGAACAAGTGGCTGTGGAGACAAGCTCCTTGAAGCAACTGGTCCCACTTGGTTACCCGTTGTGGATGAAACACTTTGTGACACACTCAATGAAGAACCGTCCCTGGAAGCACCCTGAGATGGCGTGCTATTTTTAGTAACAAGTATACTATTTTTAGCAACACCTGATTGACCTCTAGGCAAGGTCGCGACCACTGTTGCTATGTCTGGTTCACTATCAGAGTGATCTTGGGAAGAACTTCCACTTACAGTGTAAACCTCCTCATATGATTCATCCTGAAAATAGATAATGAAAAATATAACTTTATATCATCATTATTAATTTTAATAGTGTCCTTGGGTCATCTGTACATACTGTATTTCATTCCAATTTATGGATTTATTTGGTGTAAAAACTTGAAAATGATCATTGTGTTTTTGTTTTTGTTTGGTGCACTGAAACAATTTAGGTAACATGGTAACAGAAATGATGATTTTGGCTGACAACACCAGGGGTCAAAACCAACCCACCTGCTGGAGCTAAGAGATGCATAGACTCCAGTAATTCAAACCCATTTAGTTGCCTTTTACAATCACGCAGAGATGAACGGTGGCTGCAATTCTGATGCCTTAACTCTAAGAGGCAACCCCTCAGCTACAACGGGTATGATCATTGTGTAAATGGTAAAATCCTTAACATATTCATGATCTACATGTGGTGGCAACAAACACATGGTGGTCAAAACAACCACCTTGTGAATGAATCATAGACATAGGTAATAAATCATTATTGACTTTTAACTACTTCAGAGATAAAACAGTTTCATTCTGAGTTAAATTCTTAAAGAAACGCCTCACTATAATGGTATATCAGTATGTGTAAATGGGAAAAAAATTATTCTTAACCGTGGGTTGCAAAAATTAATATGAAAGAAAATCTGAACCCAATGATCAAACACAAAGAAAGTGATTTCAATATGCTTTCAAAGTTTGCTGACATTTAAAAAGTTTTACTTGGGTTAAACCCTTTACAGAAGGCGATCTTTATTTCTTAAAAACAAACTTTACAAGGGAAAAAGATTTTTTAACCTTCATAATATACGGTGACTAGGGTGCTAGGGTTAAACCTTATGCGGACTTTCTTTCCTTAAACAAGACGTTTAACACCTTTGGTCTTTCGCATTTAATTGTTATAAGTGTTAAATGTTCGAGTTACTTTTCTCTATTCACTTACCCTAACTTGTTAATTTGTATTATCTACCCTTAGCACAATAAGGATGTGATATATCACAGTTAGAAACACGACCATACACAGCCAAAAACTGTTTAATCTTCTTCGTCTAGACCAGTACCGACCGCTCCTAAACGTACTTGTGATTCAAAAATAGATAAACGTATTGACAGAATAATTGATACACAGTATGTAATGAAATGATAGATTATGATGCATCAGTGAAATTAGAGCAATATTTCATAAGATATATATAATGTATATAAATATAAGTTAACAAGAGCGTGCTTGAATACTATCAGCTCAAAATCATACATTATTACTTAGTGTCAAGTGTCTATTCTAGGAGGGGGGATGGGGGATTCACCCCTATTTTTCAGAATTCCCCCCTATTTTTCCAGAGGCAGGGGGAGAATTTTACATAGAGAAAGAAGGGAAAAAATCAACAAATGTAATAAATTCTCACTTTTCGAAAAAAATCCCCCCTGTTTTTCAAATCCTAGAATAGACACTGTTTGTGTCTTCTAAAATATTTTTTTTTTCCTTTAAGAATAAAACACAAAAATTTAGAATAAATCATCACCTTAATGCAGAAACAGTTTAACTACACAAGATGATGAAATCTCAACACACTATGTCATTTAAATTATCAAGGCATCTGTTTTTTCTATTCAAGCCAAATACTTAAAATTTGTTCTCTCTTGAAAGACATTATGAATTTTCTTTCTGTTTTGTAACATTTTGTAAACATCATTTTCACTAGCTTTAATATAATCTTATTCAAGAAAATTTTAACCACATGATTTTTCTTTTATTTCAAATTCAACGTTACACCAACACAGTATAGGTCAATCTTCATATGACAACTTTCAAGCTTTAAGTTTAATGGAGGAAGACCTCATGTGCTCTTCCGTGCATTATTTTCGGCACCTGAGTTAAGAACCACATAATATTGTCCTGTAAGCTAGACAAATAACTTTTTTTTCCTGACCTTTTCCACTTAATAGTAAATAACTGCTATTATTATGTAAATTTATAATATCTATATTACAAGTACCATACCTTTTGAAAATTACATATAACAGATAAAATATATCCAGCACATACTGTCAACAAATATCATATTAGTAATTTTTTCTTAAATAAATGAAACAAAAACCACAATTAAACAATCATAGGTACCCAAATAAAGCACTGTAAAACAATCAAGGTAATTATATACAGGGAGTCTATCATACAGCAGTAAAATGCAGGTAGTTAATTGGATTACGTTGAAGCTGAATCAATTACCGTAGTTATTCAATTAAACATAATGCACCAGTTTGCTCATATTTTGTTGCCTGTTAATACCGTATGTATTTTGTTGTTGTTTTTTTTATTGGATTTTACGTTGCACCAACACATTATAGGTCATATGGAGACTTTCCAGCTTTACTCAGGTAAAGGAAGACCTCATGTACCCCTCTGTGTTATTTCAGGCAATTAAGGACATACAAGTAGAACCATTGATGTTCCGTAAGCTTGATGGATAGCTTCCTCACATGAAAGATTCCAAAGACACTTGCATAGTGAAGTATGTAATTTATTCTAAGCTTGATGGCCACAACAGATGCTGACCGTGTGACCAGTCAGTCAGCGTAAAAGAAAAAAAAATATACTATAAATCATAATAGAATCATCTGTCATACTTGATAGGATCAGAAATGTTTGAAGACATTCAGTTGCATTAATTAATTTATGGGAATTACAATGTACCTACTTAACATTGAAATAATGTACAGGCAAACATATTGGTGATATCTAAATACATGACTGTAAGTAAAGTGAAGCTTACAACACTGTAAAACAAAATAAAGGGTCAAATTCTATTTTGCCAGATAGAAAGTTATTTTCTTGACCAAAATACCTTAAAGATACCTACATTTATATAAAAATCTTACAAAACATTTCAAGAACAACATGGCATATAAAAATTATAGATTATTGGAAACAACATCCAATCCCATTTCAGCAACAGTGCATTATTGCAATGGTGCATTATTTAGAGTAACTACGGTAAAATGGAAACGATTACAACATCTGTCTATAACTAAAGGAACTATTGTTGTAAATAATACATTAGAAAAAGTTTTCCTATAAGGCAATCAATACCTGCAAATAGATGTGTAAAATGTCAAATTAATTTTCTTTTTTTCCTCCTTGTTTTGTTGGGATTTGTTTGTTGTTGTTATTGTTTTGCTGTTGTTGTTTTTTCTTGTTGTTGGTGTTTTTTTTTTTTTTTTTGCATTTTTTTGTCCTTTATCTTTTCTTTCTATTTTTTGTTAAGGCTGGGTTTTTTGTTGTTGTTTGGTCTTATTCATAGTAAATTCAACACTTATTAAAATAGTGTGTAGTGGACAAACAAAAAAATAACACATTGCAAACTGCACTTACATTTCATGTAAATTATCATGAAGAGGTCAAAATATGCAAAATTAGCCGTAACTGTGTTAGTCATGAAGTAGATTCTGGTGGTATATACTGCAAAATCAGTCATTAATAGAACATACATGTAGCATGACCATGTAACTTATAACTTGAGGCTCGAATCTTTTTCCTTTTCTTAAAATCTCAGTACATTTTTAAAATGATTTTTCTTAAGTTTGACCAATGTGAAATATTTTGGCTGATCTGGAGGCATGCAGCTTTAGTGATTGGTTGGGTTTCACACTGACACAGTATAAATCATATGGGGACTCCAGCTTTATTGGTGGAGAAAGACCTCAGGTGCCCTTCCTTGCATTATTTCAGATACAAACACACACTCGAGTAGTACCACCAACGTTCCATAAGCTAGCTGGATAGCGTCTTCACATGAAAGAATACAAAGTACCAGTCAGGCTTCACACCCATAGCTGTTAGGAGCAAGTGGTTTGAAGTAAACAACCGTAACCACTTAGTAACAGACGGCTATGCAGCTTTACTGACAAAATTAATCACATAACTTATATCTGAGCTGAGCACAAACATTTTTTGTGTCTAAATTAAACAGTCATGAACCTTTAAACAGTAGAGGTTAAACGGAGTACTTTGATGAATGATTGAAAAGAAAACCAAAATTATAACAAACCTTTTTCAGAATATTGCAAACTCAGCATGTCTCTCTTGTATGGTGACAGACACTGGCATAATCTTTGCGATAGGTAATAGCGGCATGTCCTAAATGTTTGAAGCGGCTGAAGCACGTGGGTGCACGTGAGAACAGCTGTTATACCGCAGAGGAACCCCGTGGCTACACAGATAATCACCGACACAAACACCTGAAAATTCAACAATTAAAATACTTTATTACCCCATACTTCATATCTGTACAATAATCTTTATGGATAAACAAATATATCAAAATTCCGCATAAATTTTACATGGGGAATAAAACTCTTGTTTAGTGGAAATACAAAGCCGAAATAATCTTCAAATGAAAGAATTCCTTGCATTCAGTTATGCAAATGAGTCATGCAACAAAACGTTTGCTATGTAAAATGATGATTTTACAAATTCTGCTAATTTCTTATGTCTTATCTACTTATGATGAGAAATTAATAAAAAATTCTATTCAAGGGAAGTCACTCCAGATTTACTGAGACAATAATTTTAATAGGTTGTGTCCCTTTACCATATTTATAGCAGATAATGACTCAGTCAGAAATATGCTTGATCAAGTGACCTTCAACCTTTTTGAACTGAAAGTGATTAGTCTTACTAGGCTTGATATTTGTAATTTGATATTGAAATCCCCTTAATTTTTAAAATGGACTGTTCTATTTTCAAAGCTGGGTAAAATCCATCACAGAAATTAAGTATACTAAGGGTGAGAAAAAAATCATAATTAAGTAGACAAAATACTGTTTTTACATAACAATTCTGTTAATGCGGGTGCTTTTTTATCACAAAAATTGCATTTGATTAATATAAGTCTTCGTATTGTACATTGTCAACTTATGAAAGACTGATAAAAGAAAAATAAATTTTTTGACTGCCAAGAAAAATCAAAGCACAGAAGGCGCTGAACTTGTTTGGGTCTCAGAATGTCAGAAAGGTGAAGGTTGTGAGATTATAAACCAATTTGTTTTTGTATTTGTTTTTGTATAGTGCCACCAGTGCTTTCCAGCGTTTTAATTGTAGTTAATTGGCTTTAAGACTAATTGCAACACTGATATTTAATTCAATGTTTATTTGATTTAAACAATATGAAAAAAAAAAGTTTTGCCTTCCTTGATTTGAACTCCAGACCCCTCGGCCACGGTGAAGTTATATGTAAAAGGCCTGAAGAAAACCATATTATTCTAAATTAGGGTTTGTAACCCTTATAATATTTCGACGCTAACTGTTGTTTAACACAGACGTTTATAATCATGGAGCTTATTATAAGCATGTATATCTATAAAGGGTAAAACAATATTAGAAATCTTCGACCATTCGGGAATTATTTGGCTTGAAAATTAATGTGCCTGTCATTTGACCATCTTTACGCAGTGATCTCCCCTGAATTTTTTCGGTGTAAGTGTACATAAGGGAAGTAACAGCGTAAAAAAGCGGCCTACTTTCGGCATTTGCAATTAACAGCATCAGACTCTGAAATTTCGCTACCATTATTTGTTTGGTCTGACGACCCAAACAAATAAAAATACTTAGTGGATATAAACTGTAAATATTATGATTTTAAACATTTAAACATGTGGAGGTCTGTATTTCTCAGAATAGATGAAATGGCATACCTTTAAATGCCACAGTCATTCGACATGACAAAAATGAAAATTAAAAGGTCCTTTAACAAAATGATGCGAGAGCTATTTTTTGAGTATGTGATCTATTTTTTTTTTTTAACATTGCACTTCATAAGAAGCAACATAATTAATACAAACTAGCTTAATTCACATTCATACATAATATTATATATTTGTACATTTAATATATTCATACATTTGTATTATTCATTATTTAAATTTTCTTCCATACAAATTTTTCAACTGATATCATCAGGGATTTTATTCACATGCTCCCTCAATGTTGACAAAAAAGATCTATTCTAAACATGGGGAGAAATTTTTTTTTTTGAGAAAGCCGTTAATCTTTTTCCTAAATTACCACTTTTAAATGCGATTTAATTAAACCTTTATCAAGCCCGATTCTGTTGCCATAGCAACCAACGTTAAACCGCAAAGCTATGACAAAAGTGGATGCTCAAGATTTGTCAAGACTTATTGTTGCCGTTCTAAAATTCATTAAAAAATGCCCTGGTCGGCTTAATAGCTTATTCAAAAGTGTATGGGTACATTTTCTTTTTCTTCACAAATATATACCCTACTAGAATTTAGAATTATGCGTTTTAAATTAGAGGTTTCTAGCAATCTGTTGCATTAATGCTAAGTCACAATAACTTGAATTTATATTTAAAACTAACTATTCTACACATCTTAAAGTTCATGATATTGTATTTATTATAATTAATACCAAAAAAAAATTGGTGACAGAATATTAATAATACATCTTGGGTTTTTTGTTACACATTTCTAATAAACTAGAGTTTAAAGTGATTTAAATATACCCGCAATTAAAATTGCCTTCTTGCAGGAAAGAGTTAACTTTTAGACACCATCTATAGTTTCACAATTTTAAGATGGAAAGGGGCCATTACTCTGTCAAACATTGAGATTACTTATTGATAAGTCAAATTTAACCTGTAAATGTATGTCATGATAAAAATTTAAATCAATTTGCCTTGCATGGTGTATCCATCAATCTGTTATTTCATGAGGTTTCTTAATTTAATACCATACCGGTACACCATGAAATGGTCCAGGTCGATCAACAAACAAACCAACCAACAACCTAAGTTTATATACGGTATTTATTTTAGTTGGAATTTGTGACACATTCTCAAATCCATGTTCCTGGAACCAACCAGTACTAAGCATTTAGTTTGAAGTTTCTTGCTTAAGGAAACAAAAGCTTGCCCTTGACAAGGGTTGAATCCAAGCGGCTTGCGGTCCTTAAACAGTGAGACCCATTAACCACTTCGCTAATCCGCCACTTAAAACCAACAATAATTAAAATTTCCTGTCTTTATCAAGTTTATTTGTTTGATTGATTTTACCCCGCAGGACACAGTAAAGGTCATAATGGCTACATTCCAGCTTTATTGGTGGCGGAAGACCTCAGGTGGACTTCCGTGCATTAATTCAGGCATGAACAGGTACCTGACCAACGTCTTGTAAGCCTAAGCTAGATAGCTTCCTCATATGATAGAGTCCAAAGTCCCTGTCGGGATTATGCTTCTAAACTTGTTTAACTTTGTATGGTATATGGTATAATTCAATATCATAGAAACTTATTGTTAGTGAATCTGATTTCTTTTCACTATAAGCACCAAATTTTGAAGGTCGGTCTTTGCTGTAATGAAATCCGTTTAACTTACCAATGCTTTTAATCTTTTCCAAAACAAGGTAGAAACGCCAATTCCCGCTAATATAACCTGAAAATATACAAATTCTCAAATGTTTCATATTGTCTTTAATGGAAATGATAATAGATATAATAACTAATTATAAATGTAATCATTAATTGAAAATGTAACAAAATGTTATTAATTATAAATGTGATAATTAACTGTAATTGTAATAATTAATTGTAAATGTAATAATTAATTGTGTTTTGCAGCAATTATCTGCATCAATGAAACAGAAGCAGGTCGACTGGCACACAGCAGGTTCTGATCATATTAACTATATAGTGTTGTAAGGGTTAAAATTTAAGTCAAATATCAGCCGTCATGTGGTAATAAAATGCAAAGGTAACAAAAGGTCTCTCTTTACTGGAAGGTAGGAAAAAGACAGTAGTTGAATATTTTGACATAGGTGTAAATAATTAGAGTACCTGAGAAATCATTAACAAAGTAATATTGAAGAAAAAGATCACAATGAACAACAACTGAGGTATAGAGGAAGTAACAACAAGGATTTCAAAGGGAGTACAAAGGAACAGGACTCAAAGTCAGACAACAGGTGTTAGAAGGTGTTTGAAGAAAATTTTAGAGGATTCAATGACTTTGGCTATCCATCCCCCCCCACCCCCACACACACACCCTAGTTTTCCATTCAGGAAGCAAAATATAAATATATACATGTGTGTATATAACCATTTACCAGTAATAATTATTTTCCTAATAAGGATAATTTCACAAATTTCAACCAAATCTTGTACATTTTCTTACTAAAAACTATATACATTATTATGTAAATAACATATATTATGGTAATTTCTATAGCGTGCCGGTACAGTAAATCAGTCGCCATCAAACCAAACTTTTATACAGTTACCATTTAGTTATTATATTTAATGGGAAATATATTGTACAGTAAAAACGATTAACAGCACAAGCGACAAGCGTGTCTAGCACGCGTATAGAAAATGTTTACCAAATATAACACTATCTATAGTTTGTCACAAAAGTTAGCTACCATAAAATATACAGCAATTTTTATCTTATGTACGATTAACCTCCATCCATGGGAAATATAATGTACTGGATCACAGATTGCTGTGCATATTTCCGGCCCTTTGGCCTTTAAAATATTTCTCCTTTTTCGGTCCTATATTGGCTTAAAAATATTTCTCTTATATAATGTATCTGCGTTTATAATTATACTCTTGTATTATCCAAGAATTAGTGTACGCAGGGTCTTCATTTTTTCTGAGGCAACAGAATGATGTGCCAACAAAAACAACCATTTAGCCAAGGATGACTAGGGGGATATTTTAATCTACAGGCCCAAATACAAACCATCCTGAGTGTACGCCCTGAGTCTCTATGAATATAATGTAAATTAACCATGATCTGCTGAGTTCTAAAAGTATACCAGATTGCACAAATGCCTTAAAAATATACTAGATTGGACAAATACCTTAAAAGTATACCAGACTGGACGTCCAAATGCCTTAAAAGTATACCAGACTGGACAAATACCTTAAAAGTTGCCACACTGGACCAAATGCCTTAAAAGTATACCAGATTGGACAAATACCTTAAAAGTATACCAAACTGGACCAAATGCCTTGAAAGTATACCAGACTGGACAAATACCTTGAAAGTATACCAGACTGGACCAAATGCCTTAAAAGTATACCAGACTGGAGAAATGCCTTAAAAGTATACCAGACTGGACAAAAACAAAGTATACCAGACTGGACAAATACCTTGAAAGTATACCAGACTGGACCAAATGCCTTAAAAGTATACCAGACTGGAGAAATGCCTTAAAAGTATACCAGACTGGACAAAAACAAAGTATACCAGACTGGACAAATGTCATAAAAGTATACCAGACTGGACAAATACCTTAAAAGTATACCAGACTAGACCAAATGCCTTAAAAGTATACTAGACTGGACAAATGCCTTAAAAGTATACCAGACTGGACAAATGCCTTAAAAGTATACCAGACTGGACAAATGTCTTAAAAGTATACCAGACTGGACCAAATACCTTAAAAGTATACTAGACTGGACAAATACCTTAAAAGTATACCAGACTGGACCAAATACCTTAAAAGTATACTAGACTGGACAAATGCCTTAAAAGTATACCTGACTGGACAAATACCTTAAATGTATACTAGATTAGACAAATACCTTAAATGTATACCAGACTGGACAAATACCTTAAAAGTATACCAGACTGGACCAAATACCTTAAAAGTATACCAGACTGGAGAAATGCCTTAAAAGTATACCAGACTGGACAAATGCCTTAAAAGTATACCAGACTGGACCAAATACCTTAAAAGTATACCAGACTGGACAAATGCCTTAAAAGTATACCTGACTGGACCAAATACCTTAAAAATATACCAGACTGGACCAAATACCTTAAAAGTATACCAGACTGGACAAATGCCTTAAAAGTATACCAGACTGGACAAATGCTTTAAAAGTATACCAGAGTGGACAAATGCCTTAAAAGCATACCAGACTGGACAAATGCCTTAAAAGTATACCAGAGTGGACAAATGCCTTAAAAGTATACCAGACTGGACATTAAATGCCTAAGAAGTATACATTAGACTCAGGACAAATGGCTAAAAGGTATACTAGACTGGGCAAGTACCTGCTTACCAGTATTAAATAGAAGTAAATACCTGATTTAACAAATGATTTAAAGTGTTTAAATTGGACAATTTGCTTAAAACAATAATTTATTATTATTTGTACATGCATATGACTGCATTACAGATGTCCCATGGAAGTTAAATATTCATCTACAAGCTACCATTCTTTTTACGTTCAGTATATAAGGAATAGGTATCACAAAAAAAGTCAAACATTTTGGCTAGTAAGTGAAGCATGCATTAATAAAAAAAAATCTGTTGCTAAAGATGAGATAAAATTTCATCTTCCCCGTGATTCAAATAATTTTACCAAAGTCGTACTTATGTTATAAAAAGGTGTACTACCAAATAAACAGTGAGATAATGCCCATCACTGGCACGAGATAGGAAATTTTGGGGGGAAACTGGAAATCTTGGATTAATGGGTTAAGGACTGAGAATGTGGATTAATATTTTCTGTTGTATTTTTATTTCAATATTTTTTTCTTTGTGTTTTTTGAAGAGATGAAGGGATGGGGTGAGAGCAGTTTGTTGTTGTTGTATTCCTTCTAGGCACCCGTTAGTGACAGTTTGATTTTGGCTTGACTGACTTCCAAAATGTAATGTCTTTCCTTTTTTATCTATATAATGTGACTTCCAATGTGAGAGATTTTGCAGTCTCTGACTTCCAAATTTTAGTACTAAATGGAAGCCCTCTTTCTTTATAACCATCAGTTATTTTCAAATTTTTATTTCTTGAAATATTTTGGCTCATCTTGTTTAAGATAAATTTATTAAGTGTAATAAGGGATAAATATAGTAACAATCAGGTCTGCCCCCAATTAGTAGAAGATCCAGTCCAGAATTACACAAATTTAGCACCATAATTAAGGTACATAACAAACTGGTAAAAAAGGATGAATGCAAAGAAATCAAATGACAACACCGGATTAATATGGATAATATTTCAATTAAGATTTACCAATTTCAAACCCATCTGGTTCTTCATCATGTAATTAAAGATTTAAAAGCATAAAACACTTTTTGTACATGACACAAACTTTTATAAACATCGTAAACATTTTACTTATAACTATGGTAAAACATTTTACTTATAACTATGGTAGAGTGCCTTTAATTTACTGCTTGGTCACATGACTAGTGTCATCGACAGGTGCAATTCGACAAAAGGCAAAAATATTTTCGGGTTATTTACATCTAAAGTAAAAGGTAATTGCCTAAAATGGTTCAGTGAAGAAATTATCATCACAATAACAGTATGGCCACTTTGAGAGGAAGAAAAAAAACGAAAGAAAAGAATGAGTTTAACAATATGTAGAACAAAAAATCTTGACAACTTTATATTATGTTTAACTTTTATGTAACTTTGATATCAAAGGATAAAAACTTGGTGTGTTTTTGTCTCCACGTTATCTTTTAAATGTCATCTACTAATCTATTTACATCATACCAAGATGTCATTGTTCAAGTTATACAAATATTACATAACTTTTTTTGGGCGATAGCTTGAATCTGTAATCAAAAGGTTTACAGTGTAATACACAAACCATTGATAGCAAAATAAGACATTGTAAGATGTACATGTACTATTACTACACATCTTAAGGGCTGATTTGTGGCTGAAATTTGGCCCTATAATTCCCCTCTCAAAAAATGTATACAAACCCCTTCCCCCTCCATCATCCACCAGTTCAAATAAAATAACCTTTGTTTTATATTATAATAATAAAAAATTTTAATTATCATCTTCAGAAAAAGAATTTTAAACTAAAATTCAGCCCAAACTGTATGTTTCTACTCAGGAAAGCAGGTTTTTTTTGCAATTAAACAACAGGATCGAACCATTAAAATTAAATCCCTCAAATCTTCCTAATTTATGAAAAATGTTGAAATTTCCCAATATTATCTTGAAAAAAAATCTATGCTTTTAAAATTTTCCCAATTTTCTTATGATTCACCTGATGCTTAAAAATTCCCAATTCAAAAGAATTATCAGAGTTACAACAGTGGCGGCATGATTTTAACAATAACGGCAAACACTGGTCATAAAATAACAGAAGACTAATATATTCTAAACAAATAAGTGCTTATAAAATTTAATATTATATAATAAAAATTTATTTGAGATTAATGATATTATGTACAGTATTAACAGTTACATTGTACTGTTGTACAAAGCTATATCTTTTGGACAGAAAATCACAAATTCATTGCATCAAAATACAAGAATATCAAAGACTGCGAGTAACATTACAGGGACTATAAGTCTTATAAGTAAAGATTTATTCCCAGGGCATTAATTACTGATATATAATATAATGTTTATATTACTATTTACACATACTGATAAATTCTAATTGACAAATCT